AACAGGGATCTGGAGATTTGCGGAAACATCGCAGAAAGTTCATCTAACGTCAATCTGCGATCGTCACGGACCGCAATCTCGATTTTTCCCACAAGTTCCTCAGTCAAAATTGAAGGTCTTCTGCTCCTCTGATCGTCATGCACGGAAGAACGGCCATTTTTAAACTCGCGACACCACTTGTACACACTCGTACGATTCATAGCTCCATTGCCGTAAACAGTTTTCACCTCATTATAAATTTCAACCGGAGCTTTTCCCTTCACAACGAGGTAGCGAATGACGGCGCGAATTTCGCACTTGGCGGGAGATACGATCGACATTTTTCGCGAGAGATGTTACTGCGTCAAGAGTTTTCAACACACTAACCTCAGATTGGTCTCTTTTTGAAGGGGAGGGGTCAGGCGACGCGGCAGTGTTGCCGACATGTCGAAAAAGTATTCTCTACAGCTGTGAGAATACCAGTACACTTACTTTCTGGACGTGCCTCGTGCGTACATCTGTAGTTATTATTGTTCATTGTTGTTATGTGATATTCTAAAATTAATGTAATGTAAAACTTTTTTCTTGTCATATTACTTTTCTTTTTGGCTTGTTGTTACTTGTTACTTTTTACATGCTCGGTTAAGTTAACAGCATAGCTGGCCTTCGCCCAGTTTAAAATAAAGGCGTTTTTATTTTTATTTATTTATTATTTATTAAGTTCTGCTTTCCAAGTAATAGACGAGTCAATGATTAGCGTACAGACCGATTGCCAGGCAGACCGACAGAAAGACGGACGAACATGACATGGTTTTTCGTAATGTACGAGTACATGCCACATACGTAACACCCAAAAAACATAAATCTCGTTTTAGAAATTTTCCGCATATACAATACAGTCTCGTCAGGACGCTCAGTAGGGAAAGTCCAACAATGCTTATACATTTTTCGTGTTGCTGAAACCGAACCCGGAATCTGTCTAGTTCACAAAGCAAAAGAAGTAGCTAAACTTCATGCCATACACATCAAAAAAGTTTTATATTTCAATTCGGGTTTTTCCCTTTCTGAAACACATCCGTGCCTATGGAAAGCAGAAACGAGATTCAATTTGTCGATCACTTAGCACCAATTATTGCCCAGCGTAGATTTTCCAGTTTTTACGGAAATTAATCATTCGCTGTATTGTTCGTTTCATTTTTGTGCTATTACGTGTTGTTTTCATGAAAAACGTGGAAATATTTGCAATCATTGTACTTGACGGCAGTACGTTGTCGTAAATTATTTTACGAAATATATGGACCAGTGGCGTAAATAATGTTCAAATCCTATTTGTTTGACGAGAGTTACGTAAGTAATATCAGTAAGTGTGATTTGTATCTATTATATGTTGTAGATGCTACTGTGTCTACAGAAACGTCATCAGAGCTTGAATTGATAATCCAGCTATTTGACGTTCTTTTGTCAGTTTGTCGCTTAAGGTTCTTCGTCGCGCTAGTGTGAATACAGGGTGTTACCAAAAGTGCGACTCACCAGACAAAAATGTCAGAAACAACAAATTCGCTACGGGGTGTTTCGCGTAAAACTATACGCCATTGTAATTGGAAAGTCTCATTTTCATTTATTTATTTATTTATTTATTTCCAACAGGTGAAACCCAATCACAGGAAATGCTGAAATAAATAACAATTAAAGAGACGACATGGTATTCTTGGACTTAAATCTATAGTATCACACATTCTAAATAAGATTGGATGATCTACAGCAGTTCACTGATCAACAGCCAAAAAATATCCTAAATAAAATCAACAAAATATTACTATTTTTAATGTGCTAAAACCGGAATGAAACTTATTTTTTCAATATTAGTTCAAGTTTTAGAGATACGGTAATTATATGTGTTCCTGCTGTGACAGTGTTAATATACTGTAATTCACAAGAATGCACATGCTACATTTTTATATTCGGCAAGGAAAGATGATGTAATCGGCATGATTGTGTTACGTTATACATACGTGTACATTATATTGTTTTATATTGGCCATTTTTTCCTCAGTTGGCTGACAGCGTTCATGCAAGATGTCTCGAAAGTGTGTAAACAATCCAGATCAGTTTTGTTACGTGTGTGGTGATGTGACTTTTGCGTCTCAGAGACGGTCTATTACTCGACTGATAACAAACGCGTATCAGCTTTATTTCGGTTGTAAACTAGGTGATCAAGACAAACAGTGAGCACCCCACATCTGCTGTAATACATGTGCTTCAAGTCTGAGGAGCTGGTTAAATGGCAAAAAACGGTCTATGCGCTTTGCTGTCCCAATGGTTTGGAGAGAGCCTACAAATCATATTAACGATTGTTGCTTTTGCATGGTACCTTGTGTTGGACAAGCCACAGGTATGTCCAAGAAAAAAAAATCGGTTATTAACTACCCAAACATACCATCTGCGATGAGACCTGTGCCTCACAGTGACGAAAATCCTATTCCAAAACCCCCAGAATCCTACACTTGCGAATCAGAAAACGAATCAGATCATGGCGATCGAGTGATTCGTCAGGAAGAAGATATGCCATCAACGTCAAGAGATCCTGATTTTATACCGAGCACGTCATGCCACCAACCGCACAAAATAATACAGTCAGAATTAAATGATCTTGTAAGAGATTTAGAACTTCCAAAATGTAAGGCAGAGTTACTTGTATCAAGACTGCAGCAGTGGAACTTGTTAGAAGACGATGTTTCGGTATGTGTTTTTCGTAAACGCCACAAAGACTTAGAACCATTTTTCAATATGGAGAATAACTTGGTTTTCTGCAGTAACATTAACGGCTTACTGACGGCTTTAAATATAAACTATAACCCAGAAGAATGGAGATTGTTTATAGACAGTTCAACATTGAGTTTAAATGCAGTGTTATTGCATATTGGAAATATTTTACCATCTCTTCCTGTAGGGTATGCAGGTCACATGAAAGAATCCTATGACAATATGAAGTACCTATTGACATGCATAAAATACGATGAGCACCAATGGCATATTTGTGGCGATTTGAAAGTTGTTGCACTTTCACTTGGGCTGTATCTAGGCTACACAAAGTTTTGCTGTTTTTTGTGTGAATGGGACAGTCGGGCAAAGGCACTTCATTACACCAGACAAAACTGGCCTGTTCGTCAATTCCTAGAGCCAGGTCAAAAAAATGTACAGCATATGCCATTAGTAGATTCGAAAAAAAATTTATTACCACCACTGCATATCAAGTTGGGCCTAATGAAAGACTGTGTCAAGGTATTAGATAGAGATGGGTCAGCTTTTCAATACCTGCGTCAGAAATTTCCAGGACTAAGTGAGGCAAAGGTTAAAGAAGGTATTTTTGTTGGGCCACAGATTCGAAATATTTTTTCCTGACAATTGCGGAGCCGTAAGTGATGAGCACGGCGAACGTTTTCATCAGGATATTTCAACAATAGAGAAAAGGTACCAGGGAAAGTGCAATCCTTCCATGCTTGCAGACTGCTGTTGGACTCTTGGTAGAGATGCTCCAGAAACGATCCATAAAAGAACAGCAAAAAGACAGCGCATATAATGATTCTTATAAGTATATGAATCTTGTTACTTTTTTTAATATATCCTTAAAAATAAAAAGTTTTTTTTCTAAACCGCAACTAATTTTTTTATTTAATTGTCATTTTTGGATTCAGCGCCCCAAAATTAACAAAGAAGTGCACTTTTCCCACAAGATACAATTAAAAAACTAAAATTTGTTGTCCAGTGAATCGATGCACAACTGTCACTGTAAATATCACACGATTCAGTAACACTGTTCATGACGCAGCACATGAGATTAATTGGCGATTTTGTCATAACATTTGTACGGCCAGCTTGACAATAGAATGCCGTTTGTTGTCGACTCCCTAGCCTTGGAACGCGGAAACATATTTTTTCAAGTAAATTTTGACAGTCAATTTTACTATGAATGAGGCCATACAAAAACGACAAAGCAATTATGTTTCGTCTTGTTGACAGTGAATCCAAATTGAAAAACTCTAATAGGGCACTATGGTCACAACCTCTTTCTGGATAAGATCCTGTACATTTAAGGTAACTTTAAGTAAGGTACTTTAAAGCTTTACGTTGAATGGCCTCAAGGATCACGACAGAATTTTGGTATATAGGAGACCAGATCTGAGTCGCATACTCCAACTTGCTCCTGACAAAAGTAAAAAATAAAGTCATTAATGTATCAACTTTGGAGAAACCCTTCCAGTTTCTGATACAGAAACCAAGTAGTCGAGTGGCAGCCGACGAGATATTGAGTATATGCTCAGTAAACGTTAGCTTGGTATCAAAAGTGACTCCAAGGTCTCTATAAGAGGTGCATCTGTCTATAACCTGACCATTGATGTTATAATTATCATAAATTAAATAGTTAACCTTTCTTGTATAAGTCATAACTTTACATTTCGAGACATTCAGACTGAGACAGTTTCGTGAACACCATGACGAAAATAGAGCTAAGTCATCTTGCAACATGACGCAATCCTCGACTGTCTTGACTGACGTACAGATTTTAAAGTCATCAGCGAAAAACAAATAGAAACACTTCAGTTCAAAAGACAAGTCATTAATAAATATCAAAAACAATAATGGACCTAGATTTGACCCTTGAGGTACCCCGATAAATCTATGTGTAAATGTGTTTGTATGAAAATGTCTTTCGTCTTTTAAATTGCTGAAATTGCCTTTCTATAATACTCTGTGTATGGTTTCCATATGTCTTCACACATTTGGTTTTGGAAAAAAAACACAGTGCATTCTTTCCGATTAGAGGACATTTGCTTTCATCTCCGCCTTATCGTCCCCCCTATATCTGCTCCACTGCCTCAAAGGACCGTTCACGTAGAAAACATGGATCCGATGTTTCGACAATACATGTTCCAACCCAATAGTTTCCTGTTTCTTTATTGGCAATGTCTATGTACTCGATCCTTGCTACGTATAAATTCCATGAATTTTCTTTCTTTCAGATCAATATTCCAAGATATGGTCAGCATGGACATGCTGGTGACCAAAATAATGAACTTTGCACAACGATTAGTCGACGCAGATCGAGCGTCACTTTTCTTAGTCGATGCCAAAAACAAGGAACTGTACGCTACCATATTCGATATCGGGATCGAGTCACAGGTAAGATATTTGAAATTTCGATAAATCGAGCTAAGGGTACCGTATGAATCGCGAGCACACTTTGAGATCCAAAATGAATATGTATACCTAACTGCACTGTTACATGTTTTGCTTGTAAATACTGCTTGAAGTTTTCTCAATTTGGATCAAAAAGAAAAGTTTGTTTACTTCTTTTAAAATTTGCAACATTTAATGCTATCTAGATCTGATAGTATTCCACCCAGATGGCGTTTGTACGATATAAACGAACCTTCGCAGCGCTGATGGAAACATCGAGGACGAAGTTCTGTAAACTAACTCAAATCGATAAACTAATATGCCAATTCCGGCTTTTCAGATGCGTCTTGTTTATAAGCTAGGTTAACCTTCACACCTCGCGGCGCCTGATTTGGATGCTGACTCTCATAGTATCACAAAACATCATACTTTTTCACGGAGAAGGAGGAGGAGAAAGGAGGGAGAGACAGATTAGCCCACTTCAAGTTTTTCGTAACTTAATATCTTGGTTATTTTGAGGCTTTGGTATGTGTGTTACTAGGAAAACTTGCTTATTATTGCCTGACCTATACGTTCTGTAAAGGCGAGCGCCCACCCTGCAATGCAACAGGGGTCTTTAAAACATATTCACTATGGCACTCAGGCTCCTTAGGGAGGCCACTGGAAATTGAATTTTCCTAAGGTATTATTTAATGATTTTTCAACAACATAGTCCTCACACGATGATTATGTTCATAGACACATTCTTTTCGAAAGGGGCTAACTAGAGCAAGCAAATAGTTCTAAGCTCAAAATGGTATTTTATTATTATTAAAGACTCTGTTTTCTATTGTTTCTATTGACATCGCTATGAAAACCCATTTATTGAGAAAAATCTTACTTTGGAATTATTTTTGTTGATTATATTGTTAAACAGAGATGATGACCCCGCATCGTTAAAAAATTAAGTTTGACCAATGTGGTTTCGTATGTCCAACAATTCGCCAATAAAGATAGTATAAACGCGGTCTCATACGTTGGGAATTTCGATACGGAATAACTCAGGAAAATAGACGTGTTCTGTCGAAAAACCGTGGCTGACATTTTGTGCAGAAAATGTCTAATATTCCTGAGCTATTCTGAATCCGAACAACATAGATGTGCAGAAATAGTTATTTTTTTCTGTGGCGGGAAAAACGACGATTTAATATTGAAAAATTATATTTTTACAATATTTAAGTCAGAAAATTATCGATGTGAAATTTGAATTTTGAAATTAGTAGGGTATGTTGTATATTTATATCGACAATTAGGCCTGCGTTGCTAAGGAAACTTTTAAAGTAATCAAATAGCTGTCAATTTAATTTTGTAATTTTGTTTAAAAATTGTGAACTTAGTGGTTGTTTAGAAGTGATTTTTAATACTATAAAGTAAAAAATGTCGGATTCCGAGTTTTCTTTGACTGAATCTTAACCTCACTCTTTAGCAAACTTAAATTCAAAGTCATTTAAAACTACCTACCGTGTTGTTTTATTTCCATATGCAAAACTTAAAAGACATCCCTCGTATACAATATCCGGGAAAAAAGTACTCAATTTTTTCCCGGAAAAAAGTAATTTCGTAGAAAGTGACATTTTGTTACCTGTCAACAGAGATAAAATGTCAAACTTTTTTCCCGTCACAGAAAAAAACTATTTATTTTATATATATGTGAAGCAAAAATGCTTTTCTCATTTTGACTTTTTTGGTCAGGATTCTGATGGAACAAACGACATTGACCTGCTAGACCAGGAAGAGCTCTCGGCCAGACCTTCCAAAGAGATACGGTTTCCTTTGGGAACAGGGATTGCTGGTCAGGTGGCTATGACTGGAGAAGTTTTAAACATTAGAGACGCTTATGGAGATCCTAGGTTCAACCGCACAGTGGATCAGCTCACTGGTAAGTTAAACCGTTACAAGTGCGAATCACAAATATCTCATGTTTTTAAAATATACTAAGTGACATATAAATCCGAACACCCAGTTTAAATGGTTTTATTTTAATAAAAGTTGGTGAATGTATTTATCTTAATGTAAATAACAAGTGAAAAATTTTCAGCCTTATCAGTTGCACATTCCGGTTTTTATACTGCTTTTTTTAATTCAGTAACGCTCTAAAAATGAATATTTCAGCCGCAGTAAAGAATCAACGTTGGCGGATTTTGGTTCTTGAAATCCTTTACGATCGGTTACGATGCCTAGAGTACGGAGACCTGTACGATTTCGTCAACTTAGTGAGTTTGATAGGGGCCGTATAGTGGGACTTCGGGAAGCTGGACTTTCTTTTCGGGCAATTGCAGTTAGAGTGCAAAGAAGTGTAGACACTGTGGTTAGGTGTTGTCAGGCATGGCTTCGAGAAGGCCGTACGCAAAGAGCAAGGGGCACTGGACGCCGCCGTAGAACAACAGACCGTGAAGATCGCCGCCTAAGATTATTGGCCTTAAGGGACCGTTTCCCCACTACCCACTATCCCACTACCAGGTCCATTGCAAATGAATGGTTTGCAGAACACGGAAGACCTATTGGCATGCGAAGTGTTTACCGACGAATGAGAAGTTTTGGCTTGTTTTCATACAGGCCACACTGGGTCCTCCCTTTAACTCGAGAACACCCACGTAATCGCCTTGAGTGGTGCAGACAACGGTCACTCTGGGATCAGGAATGGAACAGTATTGTCTTTAGTGACGAGACTCGATTTTGTTTAGGCATGCACGATGGTCGTGTCAGGGTTAGAAGGCGACGTGGTGAAAGGAGAAATCCACAGTTTTTTGTTGAAAGACATGTTCATCACACTGTTGGAGTTATGGTTTGGGTTGCTATAGCTTATGGTTCCAGGTCACCTTTAATCTTCATCAGAGGTAACATGAACACGCAGCGATATATCCACGAAGTTCTAGAACCCCATCTTTTACCCTATCTTGACACCCTGGCAGATCTAACTTTCCAACAAGATAATGCCCGACCACATGTTGCAAGAGTCACAATAGACTTCTTTCAACATAATGATGTCACGTTGTTACCATGGCCACCAAGATCTCCCGACTTATCCCCAATTGAGTTGGTGGTTGCCTGGAATGAGATACCACAGGAGGACATTGACCACCTGATCAGAAGCATTCCTAGGCACGTTGGAGAATGCGTAGCACATCAGGGTGCATCCACACATTATTAAAGGTCAAAGGACTTTAAAGCAGGGCAATCATTTTGAAATTTTTGTCATTTACTTATTATGCTTCATTAAGTACTTATACAAAATTTTATTAATATAAAACCATTTAAACTGGGTGTTCGGATTTATATCTCACTTAGTATATTCCAGGATTTTTGGGAATTTAGAAGCAAATTTGAAAATGCTGTTTCGAAATTTCGAGAATCGACGCATTAGAACATACATTTTCGAATTTCAGATAAAATGCGGCATCGATTTTGATGACATCTAGCTACGGTTTGCGCTTAATGTTACTTTTTGAAAATTGGTGCAGGGACGGTGGAGATAAGCGAAAAAATAAGGAAGTTCCCGATCATTCCCATATTTCTTTTTTGCACGTTTTCCAGTTTTCCGATTCGTTGGCCCTCTGTAACTTGGAAAGTACTGATCAGATTTGGATGAAATTTCTACACAAAGTTGCTACTATGCCTAGGACGAAAAGCTTCATAGTTTTTGAAAATCAATCTAGTGGAAGCTGAAAGAAAGGACATAAATTATGAGAATTAAAACCTGTGATACGTTGTTTTTTGAGATTTCACAGGATCCTGATCATTTTTGAAAATTTAGAGGGTGGGGGTTTTAGGGGGGTGAGGGAGGGTACATTTCAATTGAGGGTTTAAGTTGTGCTGAATTTTTATTATTATTTGACTCCATTCTTAGGCATAGTAAAAGTAATTTTTTTTTTTAGTAGTAAAATTTTTGAACTCGCCAAACTGCGTTATTTGCGATTCTGATCACTTACGGGCGTAGGAGGATCAGAATTTATTTGCATTTATATTTGTATCGGTCGTTGCAAAAAGTCACACAATTTGTATTTTTCAGGAGACAATAAAAACTGTAACAATTTTCAAATAAACTAGTTTCACAGAACTTTTTTGTGCCTTACCTATATAGTATTTGAGTTGCAAAAAGACGGGTTCTGCACTAACGTTGTTTTAGTAGAAAATGGTTTTAGTGGTATACAATTCATCAGTCAAGAGAATCATATTAACAATATTATGTTTTATTCTCAAAATTACACGGATTCACACGTGACATGTTTTTAATTTACAAACCCAGGCAAAACGAAGACCCTAGAAATATGGAATTTTTCGTCTGACACTGAAACCATGTATCGGTCATCGTGAAAAAACACATTCGTTCAACCTTGCTCAATAATCGGCGATCGGTTGTAGAAGAACCCACGTGATCCGCAAAAACATTAATTTTGAGCGTGTAATTATCCATTCCTCTAATCCATTTCTATACTCTCTGTATGGACCATTTTTTAGCCAATATTTAAAGGACTTTCTCAGTGATAGAAATGTGAATGTAAATGCCTTTGATGCAACTCCCGAGGATTGGTGCCAGCCCATTTATTGTTTGTTGACCTAAATGAAAATGGGCTTCATCACTAAAAAAAAACAGTAACGTCTTCAAGTACGACTTCGAAAAGACGTTCACATGCGTTCATCCGAGAATTGAAGTCACGTTCACAAGTGCCATCTCGTAAGGATGGAAATGAAGATCACCATGAAGAATCCTCATCACAGAAAGTTCGGAAAGTCAAATGGCAGACGCACTTTTGCGCGCACAACGCCGTGGTGATCGCACCATTGAAGCTCTTACTATTACATAATTATATAGAAAACGGAAACTCCAAAATTCCAATTATATTAATACTTTTTAGAATTACCAATAATAATTGTTATACTATAACTATCTAAAACTGTAATGACTCATCGATGTTCTCGTGAACATCACTTAACTACCAGTAGTCGGCTGTTCATAGGCGGGGTATGAATGTTTAACATGGGTGAACTAGATTTGTCACATGCTTAATAAAGAGTGGTTTGAAACATATTGTAAGTCAAAAATTTGGGAATTACCTTTATTCATCGTTGCTTTCACTTACATCTGACAGTAATAAACTGTCGCTATCGCTTTCCTCGTTGAAATTGACTATAACTGGCTCTATGATGGTGTCGATGTGGTGGTCAAGCTGCCACATTTTTGTTTCTTCCTTCACAACATGACGGATAGCATTCTGCCAAGCTTCGGGCGTTACTAGCTGTATGGAAGTCTCAAGTAAAACCTTAACGTCTCGTAATTTGAAGGTTGTGTTATGGCGCGCAATATAACCCTTCACTTGAGCCCAGATGAGATCTATTGGGTTCAGTTCACAGTGGTAGGGCGGTAACCGCAGCACAGTGACACGACATTGACGGGCCATCTCATCAGTCACGTAACTAATGTTCGCAGGTTTGTGCTGTTTAATTTTTTCATACAATTCCGCTTTCACACATGAATCGTCAAACGGGATTCCTTTTTCGCGCAACCATTGCTGCATGTCACTTTTTCGATATCCCATAGTCGATACACGTTCGGCTCGACGCCTATGGTAGGAAGCATTATCCATGACGATCACAGAGTTGGGCTTAACTCGCTGACGCACCCCTTGAAACCAGCTCTCGAAGCAGCTGGCATTCATTTCGTCATGGTAATCACCTCCTTTCTTAGAGACGAAAATCAAGTCACACTCTTCTAAAAAGCCACTATCGCTACCAATATGAGTTACGATCAATCTTTGACCTTTCCCTGACGGTCCACGAAGACCTGTTGACAAACCTTCAATGCTTGGTTGTCGGTTACTCACTACGTTTTTGTCTATCCAGGTTTTTTTAACTGTGTGACCTGCATTTACCCATGTCTCGTCCAAATAATAGATTTTTCTGCTTTGTCGCCTATATTCAATCATTTCGCGTAGGTATTTTCGACGCCAGGCGACTATTTCAGGTCTCTCTATCAATACTGACTTCCGGTTACGCGTTTCGTAACGAAAATTAATTTCGTGCAGGGATTTCCTCATTACCTCGACGCTCATTTGGGGTATAATTTCATTTTCCTTGATCGCTGCATGTACAGCCTTGACGGTTGGTATCTCATTCCTAAAGAAGAATGAATGTACGGTTCGCCTTAACGCCATTTTGCTATCGTCATCCAATTTAACGGCTTTTCGTCCCTTCAAATTAAACTTTGGATCAGTAGTAGCTCCAGTTTTCTTCTTTTCATGCACCACCCTGCGAATGGTCTACTCTGGAACGCCTGTCATACTTTCACAACGCGCGAGTGCATCTCCCTGCGACATAGTTCTGTTCAGATAATTGAACACGTTGAGCACGATTTCTTTCGCGTCCCTCTTCAGTGCTTTACGAAGCCGTCTACTTGTTCCCTGGCTTTCAGTACTTCCACTCGTGCCATTTGTACTCTCCATGGTTAAGTATAACCAAAACAGTAACCACAGAAACCACAACAATAACAATCTCACAACAATTCTTATAAAAACACACAATATGCGATCGCTCAACGAAACACGTTCCAATGCGTTGCCGACGCCTATGAGTCTGCCGGTCGAGGCGCGTCTTTGATTTCATTGGTTCTACCGGCGGAGAACAATCAGCCGTTATTTCTATCTCTGTCTGTGCTGTTGACCACCGCAAAGCCACAGAAACGACATATGTCGTACGCTATACGGCTGTACTGGAAGGAAGCGGGGATCGAGCTCTGATCACGTGTTGATCACGCGTATGAGTCATTACAGTTTTAAATAGTTGTAGTATAGACACATATGATTGATTGTTAGTTATTAAGATATAATCCAAACACAGGCGATGCCTTCTGTGGTTTTTTTTTTCATATTTGTTTGCCCATTTTTTGTATTTTGGCGAATAAATATTATTATTATTATCTACCTAGTTATACAATTTATTATAGGTGTATCTGAATATTGTCGTAGGCTATAAAACGCACACGATCCTCTGCATGCCGATTTACATCCGTGGCTCGATCATCGGCGTGGTCCAAATGGTAAACAAACGAACAGGTTACTTCACGAAGGAGGACGAGGAAGCCTTCGAGACGTTCGCTGTCTACTGCGGATTGGCGCTGCATCATGCCAAGTTGTACGATAAGATCATAAAGTCGGAGCAGAAGTACAAGGTAAACATTTTATGTATTTCTTACTTATACAGGGTGCTCTCAAAGTTGGGATTTCACACATTGGAAAATGAGCAGTTTTTTATTGTAACATACACCAAAGTCTTAAGGTGACCGAGATGTTAGGCTCCGCAAAATAAATTAAACCTAATCCGGTCCGGCGCTGCCTTTACCTTTACTCATCGGTTCTAAAAAAAACAGGCACGAAAATAGTAATACTATTTTTAAAGGCGGGGAAACCTATGATGTGTGAAATATGTCTAATAGATGCGAAGAATTATCGGGGTTGGAAGTGTATTAATAAACTAACATAAAAAAAATCAAAAATGATCAGGATTTTTTGAGATGTCAAAAAACGAAGTTTAAGCAATTTCAATTTTTTTTCGTTTTTAGCATTTTCCTCCGCCACCACTGGACCGATTTTTAAAAACTACAAAGCTTTTTCCTTGCCGCACTAGTATCCGATTTAAAAACTTCATCCAAGTCCGATTAGTACTTTTCAAGTTATAGATGGGGACCGACCGACAGACAGATTGACGGAAATGAGTGACAAGGTTTTTTGTGGTGAATATGTCATCAAATTGGTATCGAAAACAGTACTGTAAACTTTCAGCCAATTTGGCCGGAATCCATTTTCTATAAGGAATGTGCTATCTGCAGAGTTTTAAACCAAGAAACTGCGCTAGTTTTATCAAAAGAACACACTATAATGAGTTATAGATGTTAGCATCTCACTTAAAGCGTCACCAATACTGTGACACCAAATAGTCAAAATCACGAAAGATAACTATTACGTCATACCATAAATTGTACTAAAATAATCAAGGGATGTACGTCGATGATAAAATCACTATGTCCGGAACATAATGATAACAAATTTATATTATGATTTTGCGAAGTTAGGTTATTTCACTGATTATTTTTATTTTCATTTTATTTCATGGTTTTGAGTGATACCTGAATAATAATTTTAGTGGGGAATTTTAGTTTGAAAAAAAACAGTTATGAATAGAACACCTTAAGACAGCAACACCAAAGACCAAAGTATTATTCGAAAAAACCTAACTATTCATCTTTCAAATGTGATCGATGATGCAACATGAAAACATCCTCTATCTTTATCGGACACATGCAAATTTACAATAGTTTGTTTAGAGAATAAAATTATTTTTGCCTCTGTCTAACATATCTGAAACATCATTGAAAATATTCATAAATCGATGTCATTTGTCTTTACTACAGACTAAAATGATGACGTAAGCGTCATCTTTCGTGATTTCAACTATACAGGGTGTCCGCAAAGTTGGGGTTTTCCTTTTCAGAAACAACTACCCTTGAAATAACGAAAGGTAATGTGTAGTGAAACGAGGGCGACCAAGTAAAAAAAAATAAAGGAGAAAGTACTCACTCTCCAGTTGACGAGAAGGGCTAAGTACGTCTCTGCCCGAAATCATACCGCTCCAACAGAAAATGAAATCCCACGAACAGAGGTAACAAATATGACGGCGTTGCCGCGTTTTCAGTTTTTAGGTAAACGTACTTTATAGGTATTGTTCGAAGTTATCGCCGTTTGATTCAAAAACACAGGTGTGTGCACGACGTAGCCAAGCATCGGTGCAGGCTTTGAGAAAGGAGTCCCTCCCCCGAATGAAAGCACCAGCTTGTTCAATTCTGAGACGAAGTTCGTCAACCGTATGCACTTCAGTGTTGTACACTAAGCGTTTAATTTCTCCCCAAAGAAAAAAATCACATGGTGTTAAGTCTGGAGATCGCGGAGGCCACGCTACGGGTCCATTACGTCCGATCCACCTATTCGGAAATAATTCATTCAAAAACTCACGCACTTCGCGTCTAAAATGGGGCGGTGCACCATCGTGCAGAAACCACATTGATTGTCTTACACTTAATGGCATATCTTCTAACAAGGAAGGCAAAATGTTGCGCAAAAAGTCTAGGTATTGCATCCCGTCCAATCGATTTGGGAGAATAAATGGTCCAATGAGCATACCGTTCACCATGCCAGCCCAAACATTCACCGAAAATGTTTCTTGAAAATGTGCCCGACGGACAGCGTGCGGATTTTCTACTGACCAAACATGAGTGTTGCGAAAGCTATTCACCCCATTACGCGTGAACGTAGATTCGTCTGTCACCAATATGCACTTCAAAAAGTCCGGATTATTGTCATGTAGATGCAACAACCACTCACAAAACCGCACTCTTGCTGGAAAATCGTCAGGTTGAAGGGGTTGTACACGTTGGACGTGAAACGGATACAGCCCCTCTTCACGCAGCGTTTGCCACACTTTAGTTTTTGATACTTGCACTTCTCTAGCCACGTCTCTACAGTATATTCAGATAAGAGATAGACCGGATGTAAACAAAAGGTTCGGGTGATTTTCACGCTAACGCCGCCGTCTCGACGTAAAACAGGAGCCCTCATTGGTCAATTCGCAATTAAATGCCTATGCCGAGCGGCAGAGCAGTCGTATCAAGGCAGAGTCACATTCAGGTTCAGACGTGTTACGTATGTCGTGTGCATCATTGCAATTTGATATTTCTTTGGACGTTTTCGTTTGTTATCTTATTAACTTGTTGAGTTTGTCGTTGTTATTGTTATACCTTGTTATTGATTTTTATTGTTATCAACTGCTTGCGCAAAATGCCCAGTAGTACAGATACTGCCGATGAAGTTGTAAACTCCTGTAGTCCACCTAGAAAACGCTCTAAAAAAAGACACCTGAGTGCAGAAATGAAAGAGGTCATTTTGAATATATATAAGATCGAGCGGGAGGAGAACGAGGCATCAACCATCAAAGAAATTGTTGTGAAGGTTTCTCACAAAGTTGGGGTGTGTCGCGCATCAGTGTTTAATGTGTTAAGACAATACAAAAAAAATCACACCTTTTCTGAGCCAATGACCAGTAAACATCGCAAAAGTATTGTTAAATCATTGGATGAAGCTGATAAGCATGCGATTAGGAGGAAAGTGCATGAATTCTTCTTTAGGAATGAAATACCTACTATAGATAAAGTACTGCAGGAGGTAAATGGATATACAACGTTGCCAAATTTCAAACGATTAACTTTCCATGCGTTACTGAAGCATTTAAATTTCAAATGGAAAAAGCGGGGTCGTAATAGTTTACTACTGGATAGAGAAGAAATTGTGCTATGGAGGAGGGATTATTTAACAAAAATTGGGAAATATAGAAATCAAAACAGGAAGATTTATTACCTTGATGAAACGTGGGTAAACGCAGGACACACTACAAGTAAAGTATGGGTTGATGATTCTGTAACTTCATCATCCAGGAGGGCCTTTCTAGATGGACTGTCCACCGGATTAAACATCCAGCAGGTAAATACGAGTAATAGACAACAATCGGATGTTTTTCAAACCTTGGGAACAAGGTTCTAAACATTAATTCCAGGGGGCAGATAAAACATATTACAAGTAACAAAACTTTTATAACTTTCGATAAAATGCGTGGATGTTTTAGTGTCATTTTCATTTGTTAGAACTTTTTTAAGCCATGTTTTTATGTGTTTTCGATATTTCAATAATTTTTTAATATAATCTTAAAATATGTCGAATATTATAAACTTAAAAAAAGTCACTAAGTTTTATATTGTGTACCGTTCCTAATATTTCTAATCATTTTTATTCATACTTTAAGCTTTATAAAGTTATAATTTGTTAATATTAATATTTGCGCGTATTTCAGGTTCCTGATCATTCATTTTTTAGAGGTTTATAACTTTAAATTAAATTGTGAAGCGCTGAGTAATCATACGACGTTCAATATTCTTTCTTTCAATATGACTAAATAATCCCAATTAAAGCAATATGATACTCATGTCTCAATGTTTTTTCGCTGAATGTGATGAAAACATTTGAAAAAGGTTCGCTTATTGAAATAAATCTACACCAGTTAGTACTTCGATTTCCAGGTAAAGGGAAAAGGCTCATTATCTGCCATATTGGCAGTGAGGATGGATTTGTTGTTGACGGTCTGTGGTGCTTTGAGTCTAAGAAAACTGGAGATTACCACGAGGAAATGAATGGCGAATCGTTTGAACAGTGGTTTTCAAAAATTTTACCGAACTTAGAGGAAAACGCAGTAATTGTGTTGGATAATGCGCCTTATCATTCTCGAAGAATGGAGGTCCCAACAACGGCTTCAAGGAAAGTTGATGTTCAAAATTGCCTCCGCTCGAAAAATATCAACTTTGAAGAAGCAATGCTGAAAATACAATTATTAAGAATTGTCAAGGATCACAAGGATCAAAAATACGCCATTGACGAAATGGCAGCAAGTCAAAATAAAACTGTGCTCCGTTTACCTCCATACCATTGCGAGCTCAATCCCATTGAGCTCATATGGGCAGAGGTTAAAAATTATATAGCTAAGCACAATACAACTTTTAAATTTTGTGACCTCAAAGGACTTTTCAAAGAAGCACTAGAATTAATAACAGCGCAAAAATGGAAAAACTGTATTAAGCACGTGAAAGACAAAGTTGAAAAGAGAATGTGGGAACTGGACAATATTTTAGAGGAACGTCATTATTGACGTTGGTGCTTCAGGCAGTAGCGATGATGAAAGCTCATCAAGCTCATCTTTCCAATAAAAGATGTCGTTCATCAAATTCGGTAAGTTATAAGTAATTATAAAGCTACTGTATTTTTTAATTAATTATTGACATTTTTGAACCCATTTTGGCAAAACCTATTCAAGAATCTACTTTCTGACAATGTTCAACCATGCACATTTTTTTAGGTTTTGAACGTTTTAATTTGGTTACATATTTACCTAGAAATCAAAAAATATACTAATCAATATTCTAAAAGCAATTTTAAGAGATATACGATTATTTTTAATTTAGGCTAATTTAAACGCCATTTTGAGATTATATTCGACTGTATTTCACCAAACATCAGACGGCATCCGAAGCTGGAAATCGAAGCGAAAATTTTGAAACGCTTATGTATATATACATCATTATATATTTCTTACCCCACCCCCACATGATCCTATATCCATCACCAATCGTATACACATCGAATTGTGCTAATTTACTACAAAGTTACGCACAGCAGCATCTACTATCTAAAATATGTACTGCGTGACTCTTAATACGTCCCTGCCGAATGTTACAGCGTTCGATGATCACGTGGTCTTGTTTATGTCCGGTCTATCTCTTATCTGAATATACTGTAGTGCTTGTTGAGGGATTCGCGTCTACGCGATTACCTTTACACGCGTGACCGTAACCGTCGGTTGAAGGTTGCATACTGACCTGACACACTGATCCCGACCCAGTTCTGTCGTCGGGTTGAGTCAGTGACCCTGTACCAGTCGGTGATGTCGCGGCTACAGGACGGTATTCAGATATTTTTGATGTTGCAGAGCCCTTTATCTCGGTTCCCTTAAGACATTGGTGTATATGGTACAAAGAAAAATTGCTTAGGTTTTCAAGACCTACACGTTGTGTAAAGGAAAACCCCAACTTTTCGGACATCCTGTATAATAATGGCGCAATCAAAATGGAGGTTGGCGCATAATTTGAAAACGGAATTACATATTTCTTTCATTTTGAGGTCGCGTGTCCCTCTTTTCAAACTCCCTGTTTTGGAGCAGTATTCAGTAATACTTTTCATCTGATTACTTCATTGTGTGTATAAAGATGACTCACAAACAATGTTATATTTTTTTCAAAAGATGTATTTTTCTGGGCATTTTCCTTCAATCGTAACTTGTTAACAAATATTAGTATATCTCTGAAACTGTATATCTAAATTCCACTTTTACAGTAGCATTGAGCAAGTAATTACTTTTATTCTTATCATTTTTTCTCTTCGAAAAATCATTGATTTTTTTGAAACCTCATTTAGCAGCAAATTGAGTTTTCAAGAAAAGCAAAGATTTTATAAAGAAGGTGGTAAGCAAAACATAATCAACCGCTCAATATTTCCATAAAAGTGGATTATTTACGGACAATTTTAGAACTGTACTATTGTTTGTTAACGATTGAGCAAAGAATGTATTAAAATACATTTTTTGGCAAAAAAGAAACTGATAACATTGTTCGCTATACACACCATGAAATAATCAGACTAAGGATATTAAGAATACTCCTCCTGACAGGCTGTTGACAAAAAAAAACAACATGTAGCGTTAAAGAGGTCAAACGGCATTGATGCTATATCTCTCTGATAATCCGATCGAATAGAAGAAATACATTTCCCGCAAAGCTGTTACTTGTTAGTGCTCCATTGTTTATTTCACAATTTACCAGTTACTTTGTAGGTAGCTTTGGAAGTCCTGAGTTACCACAACACCTGCACCGAAGAAGAGTTCGCCGCAGCGCTACGAGATGGCATCCCCCAGGAAATCGTCGGCATAGACAATTACTACTTCAACCCTTTCGACGTGGAAGACTACGAAAAGGCGCGGTTCGCCATACACATGTTCGGCGACCTGTTCGGATTGGCCAACTTCGACAAGTGCAGTTTGGTCAAGTTCACGCTGACCGTGAGGAAGAACTATAGGAAGGTGCCGTATCATAATTGGACGCATGGGTTTTCGGTGGCCAATAGCATGTACTGCATCATCAAGAGGTCAAAGGGAGTGTTTCTGCCACACGAGGTGAGAAAGGATTTTTTTTGTTGTATGGAAAATTCAAGGGCAGATTTAACACAGTTGAAATATCAGAAAGAAGTTTATAGGCCGTGATATGATTCGTTCTGGTGCTTAAACTTATCCGACTTTACCTTTAGGGTCACGCAGGGATGATCTCTCCTTGGATTCTAAACAAATAATACCTATACATGCTGATGTTAAACAATAACACTTCTTTGAGGAACGTTCAATTTGTATTTTAACAATAAGCTGTATCAGTTTTTCATCACGGGTCTTCAAGTTTTGGATTATTTTAGAATTTTGTGCAATTTAGAGATTTTCAAAATTACCTGCCGGTGGCTAGCAGTGAACATAGTATTCAGTACCAGCATCTTAACGTATGTGTGATTATCATACCAAACAAATGCGTCGTATTGTTACCAAAAATCAACATTTAAAAATCAATACACCCTAACTCCCAATTTCCAAAACATTTTCTCAAAATGAGTATGAGTCTCTGAAGTTTGAGCGATTCTTACTTTTTCGTGTTTTGTCTGAATCAAATTCCAAAACTCACAAAGCTTTTTTCCCCTTGGCAAAGCAACAGTATGTAAAAATCTAAATATGTTTATGAAACCTCTATGACCTCATTGCTTGGATTCTGTTTTTGTCTCATCCAAATGATGCACCCAAGTCTCGTCGCTGGTCACAATTTGTGTCAGAATCGTTGGTAAATAATTATACTAAGTGACATATAAATCCGAACACCCAGTTTAAATGGTTTTATTTTAATAAAAGTTGGTGAATGTATTTATCTTACTGTAAATAACAAGTGAAAAAATTTTCAGCCTTATCAGTTGGACATTCCGGTTTTTATACTGCTTTTTTTTAATTCACTAACGCTCTAAAAATGAATATTTCAGCCGCAGTAAAGAATCAACGTTGGCGGATTTTGGTTCTTGACATCCTTTACGATCGGTTACGATGCCTAGAGTACGGAGACCTGTACGCTTTCGTCAACTTAGTGAGTTTGATAGGGGCCGTATAGTGGGACTTCGGGAAGCTGGAATTTCTTTTCGGGCAATTGCAGTTAGAGTGCAAAGAAGTGTAGACACTATGGTTAGGTGTTGTCAGGCATGGCTTCGAGAAGGCCGTACGCAAAGAGCAAGGGGCACTGAACGCCGCCGTAGAACAACAGACCGTGAAGATCGCCGCCTAAGATTATTGGCCTTAAGGGACCGTTTCTCCACTACCAGGTCCATTGCAAAGGAATGGTTTGCAGAACACGGAAGACCTATTGGCATGCGAAGTGTTTACCGACGAATGAGAAGTTTTGGCTTGTTTTCATACCGGCCACACTGGGTCCTCCCTTTAACTCGAGAACACCGACATAATCGCCTTGAGTGGTCCAGACAACGGTCACTCTGGGATCAGGAATGGAATAGTATTGTCTTTAGTGACGAGTCTCGATTTTGTTTAGGCATGCACGATGGTCGTGCCAGGGTTAGAAGGCGACGTGGTGAAAGGAGGAATCCAAAGTTTTTTGTTGAAAGCATGTTCATCACACTGTTGGAGTTATGATTTGGGGTGCTATAGCTTATGGTTCCAGGTCACCTTTAATCTTCTTCAGAGGTAACATGAACGCGCAGCTTTATATCCACGAAGTTCTAGAACCCCATCTTTTACCCTATCTTGACACCCTGGCAGTTCCAACTTTACAACAAGATAATGCCCGACCACATGTTGCAAGAGTCACAATAGACTTCTTTCAACATAATGATGTCACATTGTTACCATGGCCACCAAGATCTCCCGACTTATCCCCAATTGAGCACGTGTGGGATATGATTGGTAGGAGATTGCTCAATTTGCAACGTCCTCCTCAGACTCTAGAAGCACTTCGAGAGGAGTTGGTGGTTGCCTGGAATGAGATACCACAGGAGGACATTGACCACCTGATCAGAAGCATGCCTAGGCGCGTTGGAGAATGCGAAGCACATCAGGGTGCATCCACACATTATTAAAGGTCAAAGGGCTTTAAAGCAGCGCAATCATTTTGAAATTTTTATCATTTACTTATTATGCTTCATTAAGTACTTATACAAAATTTTATTAAAATAAAACCATTTAAACTGGGTGTTCGGATTTATATGTCACTTAGTATATTTCTAAATGGTTTTCTACCTGTGCAGTTTTTGTTCCGGTGCCAACAGTCGTGGATCCCACTCGGAGGATCATGGCCTCAACTTTTTTTTTTTTGAGTAATTCCATTATTTGTTACTGTTTTTGGTCTTCCATTTCTGGAATCGTCTTCTATGGGTCCACGTCTCCGTGGAAACTGTTTCAGAAAATTTGATATAATGGTGCATCATCCACAGAGACGGAAACAATTCTCTCAAGAATTGTTTTCGGCTGAGATAGCACTCTTTTGTTAGAAATTTTATGACATTGAGTAATTCTAATTTTAGGTTACTCGGTTTTCCTCACAATTCAATTTTGCATGTAGGCAGCAAGCGGTGGCCGCAGTAGTAGACTCTCCTGACCAGTCGCCGTGCGCTGTGCGGGTTAGAATCCCGTCCCAAGAGAATTTTTTCTCTTGACTATGGATGTTGTGATTGTCCGTAGGCGGTAGACGGTCTATGACTGTCGAACGCAGAGGTACCACCCAGCGGATGTCGTAGGCGGGGCCAGAATGCATGCACACGTGTTCCCTCGCCAGATTCCGTGAGGCGTTTCCCCTTTCCCCTGTATCCCCGTATAGCCCCACGGTACCCCATGGGTGTTTAGGCGTTAGGCCTTCGTGCTATTTGGAGTATAAATTGAAAAAACACAGAACACGTGCCACCATTTGACATATTATGCTTGTGCGTTTCAATTTTACCATTCAAACCTCATTTGTTGCTCTTTAAATTCCAATAATGCTTGAATTTTGTGTGCGGTAGTTTCTCAGCTCGGAATTTTTTCAGTGTTTGGCGTTGTATATCGGTGCATTGTGCCACGATTTGGACCACAGAGGAAAGAATAACAAATTCATGCTAGATACAGAATCTCCACTGGCAGCTATATATTCCACATCAACGATGGAACATCATCATTTCAACCAAACAGTTACTATATTGCAACAGGTAACTTCTACACCATTTTTTTCAAATAGGCGTTTCAGATGCAAACTTCGGAGATTGAAGGCGAATTCTCCATAACCATCGATAGCACTGTAAAATTTATACGCGCACATAGATAGGCAGTTAGGCTACGCTGACTACTATGTTTTAGATCGGAGACATAGTTTTTAATGCATGTTCTTGAATGTAGATTGTATCGCCTCCAATGTTCGAAGCATGCAATAGTTAGAATTATTAAATATATAGTTTTCACAAAATGTCTAGATCACAAGTTACAAGAGGGTGTCTCAGAATAACATATTTTTTCGTAGCACAAAAAAATGATAGAAGTTCTCATGATAAATGTCCTGCGGGGTTCCCCTGTGGAGATAAAGTCACGTAACGGCAAAGATGGAGCCAGCGTTGTTGTCTGTTTGTCGGGGTGAGGAAGCCCAGCTGAAAATTAGAAAATTGAGCACAAAGGGAGGGGGGGGGTAGTGGCTCAGCTGCATCGGACCCTTCTGAGAGCGAATACCTTTAATCCTTCCATGTGTGTCTGGCACTAAGCGAGATTGTATGGGAAACGGTCAAATGGAAAAATGTTTTACACAAAGAGGATAACAAATGTACAAAGGGAAGTTAATCAGCCTCTACAAAGTTAAACAACAATTGCCTTTCTAGTTCTTCTGTGCATTGTGACCCAATTTGGTTGAATATCCCTGAAGGAAAAATCAATTGATATCCTTAAACCCAACTATAATGGATCATACGTTTTTTACTTTCAAGTTCATTTCTTATGGTTTGTAATTGGATCTCAAATGGTATCTTTTGGACGTCGAAGTTCTATTTCTCGCATTTCAGATCCATAAAGAATGCACATGCAGAATTTGTAGTTGAAGATTGCATAGCAATTAACCGGTATGTTGCGACAACAAGGACGAAGGTCTTAAATTAAAAAAGAGAACGGTAGAAGCTTATCACTTTGGAAGGCCTGACATCCTTTTGGGAGCGTGAATTCCTACCCCAAGCCTGGTCCTGGTATTATCTAGATTCACCCAGAGAGGCGGGGGGCTCGTAACTATATATAACCTGAATCCACCTTTGCTAGAGGAATCAATTTTTTTCTTGAGTAACTTTGAAATACATTCAACGAAATTACGACATCTTAGTAACCAATCCATGGAATACATCGCTAACGCAATATTACTAAACCCTGTTACTCCCCGCATATAATATTGGCCCAAAAACACTGTTTTGGAAGCGTTATCTCTAGCTGAAAAAATGTATTATTGTAAATATACCCTGTATACTGATTCTGTGACCTAGGCATTTTCTTTCGAGTTTCCTTTCTGTAATTCATGATTTCCGTGTTGTCTTTTAAGGAAGGCCACAACATTTTCAATAAACTCTCGAACAGTGATTACAAACAAGTACTGGGACTACTTAAACACTGCATTTTAGCAACGGACTTGGCAGTTTTCTTTCCGAATAAAGCTCGGTTGGCCAGCCTAGTGCAAACCAAGACGTTTTCGTGGACGAACACGGAACATAGGAAGCTGTTGCAGGCCATTGCCATGACAGGCAGTGATCTAAGCGCAAGCGCCAAGCCGTGGGATATCCAGGTCGAAACTGTCAAGGTAGGTACTAAGGAAATGTTTCACATTCTAGGCTCCTACATGACCAAAACGATTTACTAAAAGATGATGCCAGAGATTGTATGGAATCCGGTACCAACCACCAATAGCTACGTGTTGCTCGAATAAAATGTTTAGCAACCATTTGATTCAACAGCAGCTCAGTTTCAACTATATTTTAAAAACGTATGTCTATATCCTAAGTGTGTGTGTTTCAGGTGATATTTGAGGAATTCTATGAGCAAGGCGATGCTGAACGAGCAACCGGTAGAACGCCGATTCCTATGATGGACAGGGAACAACCTGAGCAACAGCCTGCTAGCCAAGTAAGTCTGCATTGCAATGACGTCACCATTGATGCTTTTTTTTTGTAAAACACTGCATTCACCGTACAATTCATTCCATTTCCGATTACCAAATATAACATTTTTACATCATGTGACATCATTTCATCGAAATGTCCGTCAAAACGGCATAGTTGTGAGCTGCAACTCTTAAGTTTTTATCATTTTTAGGTCATAAACAGACTTTGGTTGCACTCAACATTATAAATCTAAAGTAACATTTTTATAAGAGTTTCGAGCGTAAAGAAAGATTACGAGATCCATACACGGAAACATACAGGGTTTGTCCGGTACGCGATTAAATTCTGTGTGAAACTCGGTAAATCTGCGACAGAGACATTTGATATGATCAAGCAGGCTTACCCAGGTGTTGCAAAAGCAAGAAGTTGTGTGTTTCGGTGGCACCAGACCTTTTTTGATGGCCGGGAAGAGGTCGCTGATGAAGACCGTACTGGAAGAACCTCGACTTCGACAAACACCGATAATGTGACTCGTGTACACAAAGTTTTGAACTCAGGCCATCGACTAAGTATTCGTTTAATTGCCCAGATGTTAAATTTACCAAAATCTGTGGTTTATGACATTGTGACACAGCGTTTGAACATGCGCAAGGTGTGCGCGAAGATGGTCCCAAAAGTGCTCACTGACGACCAGAAATTGCGGCGAGTGGAAGTGTGCCAAGAAAATTTGAACATGTGTGAAAGTGACCCCCAATTTTTGAATAACGTAATCACAGGTGACGAGTCGTGGATTTTTGAGTATGATCCAGAGACAAAGAGGCAATCTTCCGAGTGGCACACGACGGCGTCTCCTCGCCCAAAAAAAGGGAAGAATGAGCAAATCCAAAGTGAAAACGATGCTCATTGTCTTTTTTGACATCAAAGGCATCGTCCACCATGAATTTGTTCCTCCTGGACAAACCGTCAACGCCAAGTTTTACGTGGAAGTGCTCAGGAGACTCAAACGAAGGGTCAATCGGGTTTGACAAGACATCGCAGCCGACTGGAATTTGCACCACGAAAACGCCTTTAAATCGACTCAGTCCTATTACTTTCCGGACAAACCCTGTATGTGACTTTCGAGTATCAAATTTGAACACAAAAATAACATGAACCGTAACTACAGTTAGGACAGGAGAAGAATGTCTATGGACTGATTGAGCTAAACTTTACCCTTTACGACCTAATGACGCCGTTGCGTAAGAAGTGCAGAGTCAATCAACTTTTAAACTTGTTGATTTCATGCGACATTCTCATGAAATTACGCCTTGATCCTAACTACACACAAATTGCATATCAATTTATTAATTTATAGGTGGGCTTCCTGACAGGCATATGCGTCCCTTGTTACCAGTTGCTGTACGCGTTGATCCCAGAGACGAAACCTTTACTGGATATGTGTCAGGAGAACCTAGAACGATGGAGGAAAATCGACCAAGAAATCAAAGGAAGACGAGAAGAACCTGCCGTATCTTAACCTGGATCTACTTCAAAGTTTCAGTTTCTTCCTTCGTTCGTTGTTTTTTCGATGTTACGGGTGTTTTTACAATACAAAACTGGTGGTAATACAGTGTCAGGTATTTTACTTAGAAAACTGTGCTATGTCAGACGTGCATTATCGCCAAAAAGAATCGCGCACTAGCCGACAGATTTGATTTTTAGCGATATTTCGTGAAAAATGAAGTATTGTCTGATTATAAATATAGAACGCGTTTAGTCAACGTAAAGCGGCGATCCAGCGCCTTTATGCTGATTAACAGTAGCTATGGGATAGCTTTGTCAGTTTTGACTTGGCTGTCAGATTTGATAGTTTGTTGATTGTGAACTGTCAAAGATAATCCAGGGCGACTGCTAATCACTTGTGGACGACTTTCCGTTGTCTGAACGCGCTAATTGTTTGTTTTAGTGCGGTAATTTTATCCAAAACCGTTTAAAGCCGCGCCTCCACTACGGTCTATGTTGAATCAACTATGATGGCCAGATGTGGAACCTCTTCACATTGGCCCAGCTTGTGATAAGAATACGGTTAGCAATTTGTCAAAATTAATACAAACGGACATAAATAATTATAGGATTTCTATCGCCCAAAATATTCGTGAAAATTGAATGCTTCGGTTTAAATTAAAGCATTGATTAACGTACTCTATTGCGAGATAACCAAACTAGTGCTATATTCCGGCTTCCTAAGAATTATTCGAGATAAAGTGAAATACCGTAGCGTCGTCTATGAGAATTTGTCATAGCTCTTTCTCTTTTTTCTATACGAGTATATATTTTGGAAATGTTAGTGTTTCATAGATGTAGCTGCCTATATGAGTACAGCGCCATCGATGAGACACTTACCTTTTCAAAGTGTATACAGAAAATAGGTGACGCACGGAAAAAACTTGGCATCTTTATTAAATTTTGAATTTAAGTTTTTGTTTGGGTGCAGAAAGAGCCTAATGAAATTTTCAAAATAAAAGTTAAAAACACCTAATATTGACTAAAATGCAATAAATAAGAGAAGTTTAAAGATTTCATCTTGACACCATTTTTTTATCAATGTATTGTGGATGAATATATATTTCAACTTAAAATAGTCTAAATCGAAACTTTCAATTTTCACGAATATGGTGTGCGAAATAACGCCAATCTTGCACTTGGAATTAAACATCACTACAATCAAGACGATGTCGTGCAAAATCATAATATAGTTGGACTTTGAAATTCGCATGATTTTGTGACAATTTTGGGGATTTGTAGGTTTGCCTAACTCCTCCTTCTGCTCCCTGATCAAATTTGCTACTTCCCGCTGTTCAAAACAAATTTTTGAGGCAAGTACATTTTCACAAAAAGTTATCTCTCGCCGATGACCGCCCTCCCCCAAGAAAAATTCTTGCTGGCGCCTATGTTGGGGCCTGTGGCTGAAGGGGCCCCGCGCAAGACCGAAATTCCACGCCCCTTTTTTCGAAATATCGTTTGATTTTTGGGCATTTGGAGGCCTCCTAACAAGTTCGGGCCCTGAGCACGGGCCCCGTATAGCCGTAAGTTAAAGACGAAATACAGTATCAGATTCGACCCCTGCAAGGAAGACTATTGTAACTCGGTTTTGGTAGATTTTCTGATGAATTTTATTGTCAGAAAAATGACGATCTTATCAAAAATATGTTGCTCATTGCAGTAATTCTTGTATATAGAAGGTTACAGATGGTATTACAATACAAACCTAGCGAAAATGACAATTTTTTAATAAATTTTGTCGACTTACTACAGTTTTCGTAGAATCAATTAAAGAAAAAAGTACACTTGCTCTAGACATAGTAGGATATTTATTGTAATATTACAGTATTTTTCAAACAAATGGTTGAACAAAACCTCTTTAATACCACTCTGTGACACTCAAATGATATTTATCTTCGTGTTTTCCACTATCATCCTTCTCAACTTCTGTATTTTCAGCACTGGTAATATTGTGTCGTCTTTGTATTTTTTTATCTTCCTTGGCTTTTAGAGAAAAATGAGAAGCAGGTAGGCCTCGTGGATGCTAGGAAGACTGGTTGCTTTTGATTTACATAGGTCTAATAAACCATTTAAGTTTCTAGCATCTACTGGAAGCAAGTTTGTGTACAGCAAAAGTAGTTCCTGGAGCATACTGTTTTGCGGTCTCATTCTATGATAATCAATGTTACTATCGTGAGATCATCAGCATACTCGCACCTATATTTCAACTTTTCTCCACAATCGTCTTTGTTCCAATTTTCCGACTTTACCTTTAATTTAAAACTAATGGATCCACGACAGCGCTCTTAAGCACTTCATCAGTACGATATAGGTCTGCATCAGGTCCAGACTTGGAGATGAGAGACTGAAAAGCCAATACATGAGTATCGTCTTAGCAAAACTGAGGACTGTTGTAGTTGAATCCTCTTTTAAACTTTTTTATTTCACAGGCATGAGTGATGCGACAGATCCCAATGCATAACGTGTAGAAGAGGATGCTATGTGTTGAACCCCTTTATTGTGTTAAAAGAATTCATCACTATTTATGAAAAAAACTCGCCTGAATTTAACGGTTCAGCAACTGCACTTTAGCTTCTTTGCATCTGCCCGAATTATTTTGGTTCTTCAACTCCCTTTGAAAACTGCTCTTTTCATACATCTAATACTTGAAATGTTTTCGCTATTAATCACCGTAACCTCAAACTTTGCCGCGAAAATCATAGTAAAAGTCAGACAGTAGGTCTAACAATAAGTTAGGCTTTCCATGATATTTTGCATCTAATGCATCTAATTTGATGTAGTTTTCGCGGGAGCAACCGCCACTATTATACTTACTATATAACGTAGAAGATTTACTGGTTGCCTATGGTTGCATGACTGAGATACCATATTCTTCCACCAAAAAGAACACGATAAAGTCTATCGATACCATATAGTAAGTCAAAAGCAAGGATTTTTGAATTGCAGTGGTCGGATTGATGGCCGGTTTTTCCGTTATTTGGAGTCAAATTTCGAGCAAGGCTCGCCGCGATGTGCCTCCAAATGTTGGTCGATCTTGTCGCTGTGAAGGGGGGCTTCTCTTTTCGAATCTATCAAATCGATGGCTTGTGTCAAAATGAAAACGATAAAATCTGCATTTCGCAGACTTTTATTTTACATAGTGAAGATTAGACTAGTCTTATTTTCTATATGACCATGAAGGTTACTTTACTGAATCCTGTAATAAGCTTTTTAGATGTACATGTAAACAGATTTTCATATATTTCCTACTTTCTCTCTACAGTTAATAGACGTTTATGTATTTATTGATAGGTATTAATCTTTGTTAATTTAATGTAGACATAAATACGCAAATTCGAAAATAAATTATGGTATATAATATGTACGTCATCTATTTAGAGAATAGATAAACTATCAGTATATGCATTTTATAGAGGGTATAGAATTCGAATTTCATCAAAGACGTCTATGATTATTATTATCAAATCTGTAACGTGTCAGGCTGTGGCACGGATAATTTCCCGATTTTTCGCAGGAAAATTATTCTTACCTGTTGCCCATGTTTATATCTCAGAAACTTCAGCAAAAAGGTGAGGCCCAAATGTCAAGTTTTGAAATGGAATTCGAACTTGGTATATCCTCTATTATTAGTGAATTTCAATGATAACGTTTCTATGGCATGGATTCTTGACCATAGATAAATTTAGTATACTATGCGTTTTGATTGGTGACCTCTAACAATGGAATTAATCTATACTAGCCCTTCATTAGCTAGAATGGGACCAAAACTAGATTGCATTTTGCATTTCACATTTGTTCATACCGGGTGGCCGATATGTAAATGACTGGTGTGTATCTTGAATATTTGTGAAATAAAATAAAACGTGTCCATTTTTTTCATCTTAATCTTTTATCGAAATTATCGTAATATTGTTCTTCAGCTGCTCTACAGTATTTGGTTTGTTGGCATAAACCCTATTTTCGAAAAATCCCCATAAAAAAGTCAGCAGTCGTTAAATCTGGTGACCTTGGTGGCCAGTTATTGTTCGCAAAAGATTCCTTGCTTCCCCAGCTGCGTGACAAGTTGCTCCGTCCTGCTGGAACCACATGTTTTGCAGGTTAAATTGTTGGATTTGAGTGACAGTAAGAGAATTACCTGCAGCGTCTTCAAAGAAGTAAGGTCCAATGACACCTCCATACCAAACACCGCACCAAACTGTCTTTAACTTCCCCTGTTTGTTCAATTTTTTTTTTTGCTTTAGGACCAGGCCATGCAGCCAGAAACTAGGTTGGTTAGATATATATATCTCTAATTATGGACAAACACACGACGTCACAAAATCCATGGCGAAGGCGAGATTCGAACTCGCGGCCCGGCCGGCCGGCTGATCAGTAGCACGACACTCTGACCGACGCGGCCAGCCGAGGTCTCGCACCAACTGACAAATGGTGTTGACATTGGGCACATTATTTCGATCGAAATCTCGTCGTAGCTGCCGAATCTTTGCAACAGTCGACTCATTATTTAAGTAAAACGGTTTAACAATACGGACGCGTTGTGGGATCGTGTAGCGCATCATGATGAATTGGACATATGTGCTTTAACCAACTACTACGGCGCCACCTACTGGAACGCGTGTATCAAAAAATGGGGCGCAATTTAAATCAGTATGATATTATATTTACCACCCTGTATTAGATCCAAATACGTTTTTTCAACAATTATTGGGCGTATTTCGTGTACCGGGTGTATTCAAATTCGACTCTCAGAATAAGGATTTCGGAAACGGTAAGAGACAAGAAGTCGAAGTTGCGCTTTTAGGCAGCTAAGAGAATGGCGCACAGAGAGTTTTGCAATATCCAGTATTTTCGGAGATAGACGAGACTGGATTTTCTCAAAATCGTTTCATTGTTTGCGATGGAATTTCAAAATGAAAAGTACGTTAACATTGACACTTTTTCTCCTCTACAACTGAAATTTCAATATGGCGTTTCCTCTCATCATCAACTTTATTTTTTTATAGACGCGATATATATTTGCACAGTTGAATCGAGTTTTTGATTCCGTTTACAAGAATTTATAATATGCCATACATTGCCAAACCTAAGTAATTTCGAAAAAACCAATGTCATATTTGGCTTGAAAATGACAGTTTATCACATGTTGATCCGATTGAATCGCCAATCTTTCATTTCTGACAAGCGTGTTTAAAGAATATTCAGATGATTCGAACACAATTATGCCACCTTGTACGGAAGAAAAGTTGGCGATGTCAAGGTACTGTTTATTTTGTCAGGGAAAAATACATAATGATTTTAGGAGAATTCGGTTTCTTTTGTTTATATCTGGAAATATTCGGAATTAAGAAACGCTCTACGTGTCATTTTCTTTGTTACCTTAACACGGCTCCACGAGGTCCATCTCCTGAGGTAACGAGGGGATGAAAAGGAAACGTCAGCGGGCTGGTCTTTGACGGTCATCGGCGCTACTTTAAAAAATGAAATCATGGCTGCGGGCGCGTACCGGGGTAAATTTCCATAATAACAGAGTCGGATTTCGATTTGAGATTTGGCCCCAATAATCCGCATTATAAATATCCGAATTTATTATACCCTGCTGTCCGCAGTTGCAGATCTGTTGGGCCTTGGTGTCAAACCTATAACGCCGGTACAGATTTTTTCAAATCGTCGGATTTTCTTCATTTAAATTTCCTGTAATTACTGGGATCAGAAGGTTCTTAATAGTAGAACGTGTTTCACATATCCAAGATGAAACATTTAACATCACCTTCCGCTAATCCCCAGTTTCTAAGCACTACAATTTTTTTATGACAATGATTATGAACCCCTGAAACGTCAAAAACGGAGTTTCAGCGATTGTTATTTTATTCGTTTTATGCCTATAGCGCCACCTCCATTAAATTGAAACTACAAGGCTTTGGCATGATAGTAACCGTTCATAAAAATCCAAGCGGTAATTTCCAAGTTATAGACGGATAGCCGGAAACAAGTGATATAGTTTTTCGTGATGTAGATGTCATATAAGACCTAAAAAACATATCTCATTACAGCAATTTTTCGCGCCAAAACCCTACAGGGTGCTATCGAGCCACTTCTTCATTTTTTCCACTAGGCTCTATTTAAGAATGCCGCGAAGTTCAACAAAAAAAGTAAGCATTTCTACCCACCATAAATCTTGTGCAAAATCCAAATTTCAAAAATTGCTCTAATAGCACCCTGGGCAATTGTCTTGTGGATATACTGTATGAATTTCATTCAGAAATATTAAAGATTAGAGTATCAGTTTCGAAGCAGCTGAACCCTTGTAAATGGCTTGAAACTAACTGCGTCGAAGCCGCCTTAATCTGCAATTTTGCCCAAGTTTAGCTGACGTCATATCTCTTACCATTTCCGTGTTCCCAATGGTGAGAGTCTAATATGAAACACCCGGTATATCACTTAGTAAAAGAATCGATGGTTCATACAAAACGCATACAAGGTACTCAAGAAAAATGTGTACCTTTCTTATCTCTACCTGGGACCTAAATGTCTGCATAGTTTGTGTATTTTTAGCAAATAAATGTTGATAAAAGCATCCAATAGCATTTTTATTTATCATTATTTATTTTGAGACACCAAAAACTTAGTTTTTGACTTACCTTTTCTAGACGAGAGATGTTAAAGTAAACGACATAATAAATCTATTTTCGATCATAACGTTTATTTTTATTTAAGCTCTTCAAAAAAGTATATTCTCAAAAATCACTCCTAATCACTATCACAGTAGACAACTGCATGAGCCATTATATCATTATGTGAATGTGTAATAATTTAAAATATCTACACAATCTGAAGAAAATCTTAGCTATACTATTCAATACTATGAATAAATACAGAAATATGTGCTATATGAAACAGCTGAGAACTTGTTCATCTTCATAAATCTTCAAGGGACTTATCAATGTTGTAACTTAAAAAGTGAAATTCCATCTAATGTTTCTTCAACGTACATACTTACGATAAACATTACGAAGGTAGTCACAGAAGTACCCCGAAAAATCGAATATTATGTGGGAAAATGGTTCTAGGAAAAGTTTTACGATATCAAAAAAATTGGTCGATGACCTAGACAATTACCTCATAGGTAGTAAAGTTTTTAAATTCAAATAGCAACCACCATTTTTGACAGGAGGTTCGCGTAGAGCTCGAGATTCTACATCAGAGTGCATTTTCGTACAGGGCCTAATCCATAAAAAGTATGGTGTAATAACTACAAGTGAATTTACTTGTACTAATACATTCTTCCATGTAAGTGTCTAACACGATATACTAGCACTGCTCCATATTATACAAGTTACAGTACCATTTGCGCAAGTTGGATGTTCATTAAATAACAACTTGAAAGAAAGATTCGAACCGCATCTCCTCCATTCCGTGAAGCAGAACTGACTGATTGCAGCACTAGCTTCCAACTTTCAGGATCCACTGTTATCCAATCGCTTTGTACTTGCACCACGCCGCCTCGTGAGCGCTTACCACGGTACCACCCTTACTGTCATATCACGGTGGTGCCATTTTTCCTTTCTCTCAAGTTGTTTATTAAAGATACTCGGTGTTGCGGAAGCGTTCCTCCGAAAAATCGTATACGGGTATATAGTTGTAAGCACAAGCAGTTGCCTTTCATTCAAGAATCTCGAAAAATTGCGTTCGGTCAAGGCAAATTAAAAGAAGCAAGGTACGTATGCCCGCCTTTCAATTGGATTGGGTCTCTTCCTGTGGAACATGTTAATCAATGATAGTAGCAATAATGAAATAAATGCGGAATAAATCTCATAAGTACATGTAAGTACTAATCATACTCGTGACTACTCTCTCTTTGGCTCAATAATGCATCTTTCTCTTCTTCTGTCACCTCCGTCAATGTTTGTTGATGAAGAGGCACCTTCACCACTCGGTTGTTGACCTTTTTCAAACCTTCCGTCGCTCCTGATTCAGTCAATCTGGAAGAGAAATTAACAAATTCGGTGTCACATCTCATGCACATCTATCAAGCGCCAGTTTTCGATTCGTTTCGAATGGTGCTAGCGTAAATCACGAAAGCGTTGAAAATTGCATTCCATCTTTGTTACATATAGCGCATATTTATTATTTAGTTTATTTCCAACACCCAACAGTGAGAGCCAATTACAGGAGAAGTACATAAAACTTTTAAAATGATTCAGAAAAGTGCAAAGCATTAGCCATATATGTACTAATGTCTCCCAAACTCAAACAAAATATATTTAAAACCATATGTAAAGCCTACAGGTTCTGCAAGTGGTCAAACATTAGGACCAATCAAAATTAATTTTTCACCAACATCAAACTAGCTTCAATTTATAATTCCCAAAATCTAGTTTGTGGAAGATTTATTTGGCACTGCTGCTACAAAGCCAATTTTATGATAATATTCTTTTACACATTTTTTTTAATCAGTTTTCTGTAGTTTTCTTTTGTCTATTAAAATTACATTGCTATGCATTTTGGTTATTCATAGTGACTTTCCAATTTCACCTTTTTAAATTCGAACACTGTTTAATATCATTATTCAATTTATTAAAATGGATGCTCCTTTTGGAATACAGAATTACCAGTTATGCTGCTATTACAATTTTGCAGATGAAAATATATACTGCCTTTAGTTTTGTAGTTATCATAGTGACGATTTAATTTTGTGAAGTTTTCTGAGTGTGGCAGCAATGAATGATTTTATAATTTGAATATGAAAATGATAGCTAAATAACATAATTTTTTTACATTCAACCACTGCAGTTCTTCTAACACTGACTTAATCTCAACATAATTTGTTTGTATTTGAAATGATTCTCATAGATTTATTTTGCAGAATTTTTAATCTTGAAAATGTTTTTATTTGCTGTAAACAAAGTAGTTGACCAAAATAAAAAATTGAGTAGAATCATGATATACACATTTTTTTTAAATACATACTGAGATTATGGGAAACTCTATAAAAGTCATTTCTTTTTGATATTTTTGAAATAACGTATGCATAATGCTCTTGAAACACTAGTTTACTATCCACATATATACCCAGATGTGTAAATGATTCGACTAGTTCAATTTTTGCATCATTATTGACACAAAGATACGAAGGCTTCCCTGCAAATGTACTTTTCTTCTTTCTTCATGACTTCCTGGGTAAACGGACCTGATATGCCAACTGAATCGCATCAGGCTAATAAATAAAATAATGAAAAAGCAATTCTGTTTATAATTTGCACTTACACTTGATCCATTTCTTCGTCCTCGTCGTCGCCGAGTGCAAAGTAAGGATTGTGCGAAGCAGGTCTGAACTTGTACGCCGTCAGCACGAAAAACACATACGTCGCCATTTCCCTAAACATTTCGTACAACCAACCATACTGGAAAGGCACTGTGATCTTCAATAGGTAGACGATTATTCGAGTTGAGTAGATATAGCAAACTATCATAACGTAAAAGTGCCTGAAACAAATCCAAACCCAAATGAAAAAATTACATGACTTTAGAGTAAAAAGTTACGAACATGTATTTCAAAGAAATCAAACAGGTGTATACAATTAGTCCATAGACATTTTTCCCTGACCTACGGACAGTACCAAGCATCAGGCAACCTTGCTATGATTAACCTCACCCATCGCCCAATATATGATGTATGTTTTTGCCTGTTTCTTCAAAACTGATTCTGACCAAGAGCTAAAGTTGACTAACCTAAACAGCTTGAGCTTTCTCAGGTTCATTGCTGCTTTGCCATCAGTTTGACTGGCCTCTTGCAAGTGCCTGATAGACCAAACAACAGGAAATAGTATGCATCCACAACACAGCAAATCAACTGATGTCACAAAGTGTTTCCACGCCAGATATTCTCTATCCCCTTCTTCTGACTCTTCTAGAATGATCTCAGCCATATTGGCTAGGACTTGAAGTGGTATGACTACCATGAACAATTTTTTGTCACGAGGCGTCAGGACGTGTTTGATGAATGTCCAGCCTGTTCCAATAAGGACTAACACCTAAAAATATAGTTAAATTTGAGACATATTAATAAACCTTTCACAAGAACCCACTTGTACAAGGCATAGTCAGGACAACACCACAGATATCACGCAACCTTGGCTAGCAAGATACCTGTCCACTTAGTAGTGAACCTTGGCCTATCACCCCATCACCTCCTATTCCACATATCACTAAATCATGTCTAAATTCAAAATAGTTCAACACCAAAGCTTTCTTCTCATTAACCCAAATTTAACCATTCCCAAAATCTGGAGGTACTGCCCTCATCTTGAACATCTCGAAGATTTTTTTCTGATACAGAATGAAGTATAACAAACATATTCAAGTGAAAAATGAATGTAAATGTTTCAGTAAGTAATCACACCTTGGATTTGGATGGAGTTTAGGGTCAGTTTTGGCATTTAAGCTGATTGACAACACATATAATGGGTGATTTTTTTGCTAGTATCTTTTTGGCAACACTGTTTTTGACAGATGACGCGTGAATCGTGTCTTGTGTCATTGTCAAACTTGTTCAGTTGGGTCTATAATTTAACCATGAATCGACTTACGAACGAACAACGCTTGCAAATTTTTGAATTTTACTATCAAAATTCATGCTCGGTTAAGAGTGCATCGAGCACTGCTTCCAATTTATGGGCAATTTGGTCGGCCTACAGAGGGAGCTATTCGGAAGCTTGTGACTAAATTTCGAACCAAGTTTACATTATTGGACATTAAACCACCAACACGCAGACGTAGAGTGAGGACTGAAGAAAATATTGCGGCTGTATCCGCCAGTGTTAGTGATGACCGTGAAATGTCGATTCGCCGCCGTTCGCAGCAATTGGGCCTCTGTTACTCCACAACTTGGAAAATTTTGCGACAGGATTCGGGTGTAAAACCTTATAAGATACAGCTGGTGCACGAATTGAAGCCACACGACCTCCCACAACGTTTCCAATTTGGTGAATGGGCGCTGGAAAAGTTGGAGGAAGATCCACATTTTTATCGAAAAATGCGACGAAGCTCATTTCTGGTTGAATGGGTACGTTAACAAGCAAAATTGCCGCATCTGGAGTGAAGACCAGCCAGAAGCATTGCAAGAGCTACCGATGCATCCCGAAAAAATCACTGTTTGGTGTGGATTATGGGCCGGTGGCATCATCGGGCCGTACTTCTTCAAAGACGACAATGGCCGGAACGTGAACTGTTAATGGCGAGCGCTACCGTGCGATTATAACAAACTTTTTTTAGCCTAAAATGGAAGAGCTGGACTTTGCTGACATGTGGTTTCAACAAGATGGTGCCATATGTCACACCGCACACGAAACAATGGCCCTATTGAGAGGCGAGTTCGGTGAACAGTTTATCTCACGTTTGGGGCCCGTCAATTGGCCGCCTAGATCGTGTGATTTAACGCCGTTGGACTATTTCTTGTGGGGCCATGTTAAGGCTAATGTCTACAGTGATAGACCAGCAACGATTGACGCACTGAAAGCCAATATTGAAGCATTTATTCGTAAGATACCGGCCGATATGTTGGAGAGAGTGTGCCAAAATTGGACCTTGCGCGCGCATGGACTATCTAAAGCGGAGCCGCGGCCAACATTTACATGAAATAATCTTTAAACATTAAATTATATCGACCGTTCTATCAACTTAAATAAAGATTTAATCGTTTTTTCAAATTTTTTGTGTTTTTTTTTGAAAATCAAATCCTATACCTATTAAAAAATCACCCGTTACAAGAGTTGTTTAGTAACAGTGGGAATATGCTGTATAAAGAACAGTGTGTAAATTCCTAATAATCTTACCACAAACAGAAGTGCTCCTTTTAGCAAATGTGCTACATAGAACAAAATCGCCCATGTTGCCAGATGTACACCAAGTCGTTCAATGTAATGGTAATTCACGCCATGGAAAGCCAATGAGATAGCTTTCAAAAATACCAACACAGCCATCATGTAATGTATCTTGAATACAGGGTGTTTGGACTGTTTTAGCAAAAACACCCAGAACATGCCTGATAGCATAAAGAGGATAGACATCATGCAATACAGTGCTGGAAGAGGCATGTCTCCGGCTGATAGGTAGCTGTTTCTGTTTTGTTCTACAATTTTCATGTCAAAGTCCACAAAAACCTCCGTATCTGATTTGTAATTTGGACAACTGTGGAAGAAGAGATTGTACAGGCCTTCTTCTGCAAGGGTTTCCACTAACATAGTGAACTGGAAAAAATACTGTGAAATTAGTACACAATCTCCATGACAAAAATTTGTTAGAATATTGGGGTATCAAGATAGAAATTATAGAAACGATAAATTGAAAATAATACAGACAATTTTTGTTTTTTAAATGCAAATCTCGATTATAATAACAAAGAATACCAAGCCAAAAAAATTCTTTTTCTCAACATGTACAAGTTTATCAAAGCACTTACTGAAGTATTGTAGTAATTGATACCATTCACTTTAGCACTGGTTATATCAAAACTCAATTCACTGCACATTGGAGTGGGTTTTACATCTACATCATCTGGAGACTTGAAAATGTGCACAATGTCCTGATTTTTGCATTCGACCCTCAACCTTTAAAAACAAATATATGGTTGACTTGCTAAGGTAGATAAATGCAAATATTTTCTCTTTTCAACACAAATTACAATGGAAACAATAAATTATGTTTATGTTGTCATACAATCTGGCCAAAAAGCAGCAACTGACTATGTAGACCTGGTGGAGCCCATGGCAATTGGAGGGTCACTTATATAAAATGACTCTGAGACACTAAATACAGAGTTTTACAAATAGGATTGCTTGATAAATTTTCATATTGATATTATACATGTTTGCAAGCTGTACATACTTTTTATTTTTAAGATCTAATTTAAAATGTATGACAACCTCCTCATTAGTCTTGGTTTTTTCTATCGGTTCTTGTAACACACAGTGATCTTGATGACCATCTAAATAAGGATTCATTCCATCATTTATCGTCTTGTCCAAGCTAAATCCAAACTAAAAACAAGCATTCTTACAAATTGAAGATAATTCTTTACATATATCTTACCAAGTTAGAATCATTTTGTGGATGTGACCTAAAATTTGTAAGCTCTACGATGAGACTCCCGCCTCTGTAGAATCCAAAAGTGCTCAAAGAAATGTATCGTCGTGCATCGTTCTGAAAGCAAACGGAAATCAGGACCGGAGAACAGAAATTATGTTTCAACATTACCCTTATTTCTAGATTGTGGATTCTCGACCAGCAAACGTTGGATGTTAAATAAAGTAGCAAAGCTAAATAATAAACTATTGAAGACTCCATTCTGGATATGCCGGTCTAGTGCTTCTTTCGCATATTCCTAGAATGTTTTACAAGATACGTTTAGCTTACAACGTAGATAGGAGTATTAAACGTTCCTCGGCAGTTTCACTTCTTTCGTTTTTCCTCTTTTGCATTTGCAATCTCCACCTCATGACATTCAACGTCAAAATCAAATGACAACTCTAGCATTGACAGTACACCTGTCAATTAAGTTTTGCTAGAGATGAGAAAACATGTTATAGAACTGAGCAGCGCAAATCAAGCTATCGCCGATTATGACTCCTGTAAAATAAAATCTGTTAATTCTGACCTTTTTAACTACTGGATTCATTTTCGGGCCCGGGTAAAGATAGCATGGCCACGCAAGACAACTATGGAAATGTACTCTACTAGACTCTAGAAGACTATCCGTAACTGAATTTTTGTCGAAATCGTTGTACAATCCTTAAAAATATACAAATGAAGTTCGGCAAACTACCGCTACGACGTTCTAAATGACTCTTTTCTTACCTCGGGATAGACATACGTTTTGAAAGTTGACATTGTCTTTCTTGTCAATTTGGTTGCGGCATTGCCAGCTCGTCGGACGATTTTGCTATCACCAATTCCTTGGACTAAAAATATTTTTTTGTTCGAGGCCTTGCTAATAGTTTTGAGATTTATCAGAAATGAATGTGAGTACATAAGAATACTTACAAGAACGTTAGTTTAGTGCACGTTTCTCTAAATTTCTTTTTATAATAATATATTACAGGGTGGCCCAGATAAGAATCAGACTAGGTTAAGTTCTGTAATCACACAATCTTACATCAAGCATTTGTTTGCAACGCCTACTTAAATAAAATGAAAGAGTATATAAAACACGTTTGTTTATAACTAAGAAAACAAATGTAACGTGATACATCGTTTAAGTCGTAGAAAAAAATGCTATTAGATACAGGGTAGTACTTTTTTAAGAACACCATTATGTAGTACCTGAATAGTGCCATTAGTTTTTTGAAATGAAAACGATTTGGCCAAATTTTAGTCTTTTCCAAACACCTCAGTATATGACTACACTCTCAGTGTTGAGCAGTTTTTTTAAAAAAAAACATAGGATGTCAACCTTAACACACAAGTAGATGAGTATGCAAGGCTCACCAGTTTGATGCACAGATATCCTGTTTCCCTCAGAAGAGTTGGAAGTAGACCTAATTTCCACTTTGGAGACACTTAACACTAAAACACCACTGAGAGACAATCGAGAACCCTATAGTGAACACCACTACTAAAAAAAGTAGCTTAACCGAAAAGAGCTCTGCAGCTGTGAACGCGTAGACATACCGCTGCGCCAACGGTTGCCGAGAGACTGAAGCGTGTGAGTGCTGTACCTCGCTGCGTCGGGAGCATATGCGCGGAGTGGCAGCTGGAAAGGGGCGTGGCGGTACTACCCGCCCGGACCGTATCGCCACAGCGAAGTTCAGCACTCGCACGCATCAGTCTCTTGGCAAACGTCGGCGCAGCGGAATGTCTACGGATTACAGCTCCGTGCAGAGCTCCATTCGGTTTAGCTACTTTTTTTTCAGTAGTCATCTGACTGAATTACAAAACGGTTCTTACTTAAAAAATGACCCTCGTATAAACCGTTACTTCCATGCTACTTTCTTTTAGGTTAATAACTGTGGCATGCTGGCGATTTTCGATTGTACAAATGAAGCCAGAATTGTTGTGGAACGACTTGATTTTTCTTCACCTGATACAATTAATTTTAGCAGAAACGGTTGAGGTTTTCCTCACCCAAGTGCGAATGCAGTCACTAAAAATCATATTCCCCTAATAAATAGTAGGGAAAATGAAAATCGTACGTCTATTAATGGTCATATAATTTTAGATCAAATAGTTAAGTAATAAATATATTTATATAATAAAACATTTTTTTTCAGTTGTTCCGTATTCAAAAAGTATTTTTTCCTATAGAACTAGGCATTTATGAAAGTGTTCAGAGACCTTAACGTTCCGCCACGTAGAGGCCAGACGACGCAAAATGAAAATAACAGCTTTTTTTGTTTTTTTGGAAAACATTGCTACGCCTCAAATTTTATATATCTCCATTGGTACCCTCAACATTTTATTCAAAATTTTTTTTTATAACATTCTAGCAAAATAGCAGACGTAGCACAATTGTCCGATGAGCTGGCAACGCCGCAATCTAGGACTGCTAAAACATATGTCTATCCCGGGGTAACGATGAAATCAGTTAGTACGTCAGCGCGGCAGTTTTCAAATCTTCATTTGCACTTTTATTAATCAAATTCAAGCGGATAACAAAATGGAAATGGTATTTACCATTTTGGGTTGGTATTTACCAATCCGTTCAAGCGAGTGTAGTTATCAGTTTGGTTATAAGATCCGTGACGTCACGAATCAGCTGTTATATGTCATAGTTATCACCGCAAAATTGTGGTATTTACCCAACTCAAGAGTAGTTTTATATTTCTGGTTATTATTTGCAATGTGACAAGTTAGAATTTTGCCGGGTATTGGATATTGTTATTGTACTTCAGCTTCATTTTTGAGAAAAATGATACAGGCTGACTTCAGTTTCACCATAAGCACCTTATTAGTTATACTCATTACGGTTGTTGGGGACACTTTAAATGTAGTTCCTATGCTTAACAAAGTATCCGGTGTAGCCGTATACCACAAGAATATTAAAATATGGCCATATAAACTCACTAGATGATATCCACCTGTATACGGTTTTGCTAATTTCTTTTTTCATCATTTCTGCTGAATCAATAAATGTCTTCTTTGACATGCGGAAAAATTTAGAGAATTAAAAATTATCACAGCTACAAAGCCATGGTTCCATCATTAAAAAAAATCTGAAAAAAAACATTTCTCCCATGAATATTATGAAAGGTTTCTTATTTAAGCTTTCCATATACAGTTGTAGACGAAAAAGCACCGATTATTAAGTGATAATAAAAATAATTAGTGATTATATACGCGCTTTTCTAAAATAAACAACTTGCAACAAAACCGCGGTTAAAACCAACGCGTTCAAGCGATTCGTGTAACTGACGTCATCAACCTGTGTGTCATCTTGAACCATATTATAACCGCGACACATAACACAGAAATTTTGGTTATTCGCTTGGATTTGATTATACTATTTCAATACTTGTCTTGCGTGGCCATATTATCTTTACTCGGGCCTAAATTTCGTATATTCTAATTGATACCTTGTCCCAGGAATTCATTGGCACAACTAAAAGTAACAAATTGAATGTTTCTTCGAATGAAGGAAAATGGCAATGGTGCATAGCTTGAATAACAGTGGACTCTTATATCTTATCTCCCCATCTCTAGCTAGAAATTGCTGTTATTGTCAAGTAGACAGCATTTTGACATTTGTTTTTATTTGAATTGAATGGAAAATAGAACTTTTTGATAAATTTGAGTTTTTATTTTGTCTCGTAAAGCCTGCCGATTTGTGAATACGAAATCGTAGGTAAATCTCATTTTTTCAATGTCCATACTGATTGAAGTATTTGTCTGTACTATATCTCAGCGAGGCGTGAAGAACACGTCAAAAACATACATAGTTGACGTGTTTACTAGTTTGCATCCTACTCAAACATCGTAAAATACGTGCCTAGTAAAAATGGTGAAGAAGAATAGTTTCCAAGTGGCTTTGAATGATAACACGTAATATTATATTCACGGAATAAATTCTTATGTTAATTTCATTAATATGATACCTAAAAACTACAGCAGCGCTATTTTACGCTCACTTTTTGCATCAATCCTGCTCATCCACTGTGCCAATTCTTCAGCAATAGATATATTTGTAAAAAAGAACAAAAGTACCGAACCAAGCGGGCTATATTCACTGAAAGACGATGTAGAAATCCTGACGGCAGACAATTTCAAAAACGAAATATACAGCAATGGAAGAGCCTGGTTTGTGGAGTTTTACAACAGCTGGTGTGGATTCTGCCAAAGATTCGCACCATCATGGAAGGCTTTGGCGACTGACGTTAAGGCCTGGGGAGATCTAGTAGGTATAGGAGCCATCGATTGTTCAGATGAAGCAAATCATCCTCTGTGTAGGAATTTTGAAATTATGAGTTACCCTACTCTGAAATACTTCCATGAAAACTATGAAGAAGGTCCAACTAATTTCGGGCTGCCAGTAAGTTTTTCTTCAAGACATTTCGATTAGATTAGTCATAAAGATACTAGCTACAATCCTAACAAATACTATTATGATTTAAAAATTATAGTCGAGTTTCCATTGTAGATAATACTTAATTGGATTACCAAACTGATATTATTCCACATGTTATGGCAAAATCCATGTGTGTTTTATATTTCCATTGTTTTGCATTGAATATTAGCATTTTTGCATCTGAATTAAATTACTAAGCACATTTCAGTGAATGCAGCACATACTTATAAATACAGCAATGGTTTGGACTATTCCCTCTTTATAGCCAGAGTAAAGCATAAAATAGAGTAAAAAAATACTTGAAAGAAAAAACTAAAATGATTCTTAGTTATTTTCTCTTAAAACAGATTATCCTTACATACTCTTTACCAATAAAGTAAAAAGTGTTTGAAGAAATGATTTTGTATACTTTTAACAACAAACAATTTTGAAAATTAAAACTACTTAATAATGACCATCAAATGACATAGAAATTTAATGAGTGAAACAAGGATATATTGGATACAGTTGTTTTGATGTTCATTTTTTTTTTTTTGATAACAACATTGCTTTCGTAATTGAGCTGTAAATGTGGAATTATGGTGAAAATCACGAAGGATGACTATTATGTCATATCATAAATTGTACTGAAGTAATCACTGGACTTACGTCGATGATAAAATCACGATGTCAGGAACACAATGACAACAAATTTATAATGAAATCCAAGCGAATAACCAAAATTTCTGTGTTATGTGCCGCGGTTATAATATGGTTCAAGATGACACACGGGTTGATGACGTCAGTTACAGGAATCGCTTGAACGCGTTGGTTTTAACCGCGGTTTTGTTGCAAGTTGTTTATTTTAGAAAAGCGCGTATATAATCTCTGATTATTTTTATTATCACTTAATAATCGGTGTTTTTTCGTCTACAACTGTATATGGAAAGTTTAAATAAGAAACCTTTCATAATATTCATGGGAGAAATGTTTTTTTTCAGTTTTTTGTTAATGATGGAACCATGGCTTTGTAGCTATGATAACTTTCAATTCTCTAAATTTTTCCGCATGTCAAAGAAAACATTTATTGATTCAACAGAAATGATGAAAAAAGATATTAGCAAAACTGTATACAGGTGGATATCATCTAGTGAGTTTATATGGCCATATTTTAATATTCTTGTGGTATATGGCTACACATGATACTTTGTTAAGCATAGGAACTACATTTAAAGTGTCATCAACAACCGTAATGAGTATAACTAATAAGGTGCTCCACTTTATGGTAAAACTGAAGTCAGCCTGTATCATTTTTCTCAAAAATGAAGCTGAAGTACAATAACAATATCCTAACTTGTCACATTTCAAATAATAACCAGAAATATAAAACTACTCTTGAGTTATAAATACCACAATTTTGCGGTGATAACTATGACATATAACAGCTGATGCGTGACGTCACGGATCTTATAACCAAACTGATAACTACACTCGCTTGAACGGATTGGTAAATACCAACCCAAAATGGTAAATACCATTTCCATTTGGTTATCCGCTTGAATTTGATTTATATTATGATTTTGCCAAGTTAGGTTATTTCACTGATTATTTTTATTTTCATTTTATTTCATGGTTTTGGGTGATACCTTAATGATAATTTTGGTGGGGAGTTTTTGTTTTGAAAAAAAAAACAGTTATGAGTAGAACCTTAAAACAGGAACACCAAAGACCAAAGTATTATTCGAAAACAACCTAACCTGCTTTAACATAACCTAACTATTCATCTTTTAAATATGATCGATCATGCAACATGAAAACATCGTCTATATTTGTCGGATACGTGCAAATTAGCAATACAGTCTGTTTAGACAATAAAATTATGTTTGTCTCTGCCTAACATATCTGAAACTTCATTAGAAATATTCACAAATCGCTGTCGTTTGTTTTTACTACAGACTAAAATGATGACGTAATCGTCATCTTTCGTGATTTTGACTATAATGAAATAACTTAAGATATCTGAAATTTAAAAATGCTGTACAAACAGGTGCTAAAATTATAATAGGTTGACCCTTAAGTAGCCAATGACTTTCACAGTCAAGGTTAAATACATTGTCAACCAAGCACCTATTTCTTCCTTGACTGATGATTTAATCTGAACGTGGATAAGTTGCTGATCTGAAGATTTTGAAATCCAGGTAGAGGCCGGCCAAGATGTAGATGAACATAGAAAAAAACTACTGGATGTCCTGATAAATGAGCAAAAGCAGGGTCGCGGCAAACATCTACCAAACTTGTTACCATTCTCAGGAAAACCAGTCCAAACATTACATGACGATGTTGAGTATTTGATATTGGTTATACAAAAACCTACTGACTACATTGGTCCAGAACTTGCCATGGATCTGCATAAAATAAAAAATATAAAAGTCAAATACACTTACGATAACAACACAGACCTTGTTGATGAGTTGAAGCAAAAGGACTTTCCTCAGTTGTATGTCTTTGGAAGGAAAGGTGACAGAAAACTGGTTCCAATATCAGAACATTCTAGAGATGGATACACAAAAGCCATCAAAGGCTTTTTGAAGGACAGGCACATAGCTGTGTCAGCGGAAGGCTCTAAAAATTTGTTTGCAGGTAAATTTTTATTTTATTTGGTACATTAACATATGAGTATGAGGTGAAAATTTCTTGGCCTAACACAGACATGGTGTTTCATTCAGAAAAAATTTATAATTCCTGCATAGGTGCTCATGCAACATATGGCAAGTGTCAACTTGTTCTCTCAAATTGTTTGTCTATAGAAATTTTGAAGTGCACATATTGCATGGTCTTCATTAGGATGGATACACTTTAACATCATGTTGTCATCAGAGTCTTTGTGGTTAATGGATTAATCCCCTAATACCAGTTTTATATCAACAATTTCTTCACGAATTTATTCCGATGGAATGCTTCAAGGTCATCCTATGTTTTGCAGTATTTACATCAATCGACAAATTCATTGATTATTTGAAAGTATAAAAAGCTACCAACCACACAACTAGCTTTCGCTAGTACCTCACGAATTTTTGTGGGAAAACTTCTTATTCAATAACAAAGAATGAGAAAACGTGTTTTTCGAGATTCAATCGAAAGTGTTGACAGGAACGAAAAAACTTTTCAAATGAGATTTTTAGGTATTTATGAGACCTACAAAATGAGACCACACGTAAAAAGCTCCGGCTAATACCCAATTTTATGTGTCCATGTTTTCAATACCCACTTGAACAACTTGCACCAATAAAATCAGACTTCACCATTATTTGGGAAATTTGTTAATATGATTAGAATAAATACCATAATTTGCGCCAAAACTCGAAGAGGTGGCATCGCTGACACTCAAACACAGTATACGTAGTTCCATTCAGTCTTCAATTCCTCATTTTTTGCAGGGAAACAGGCAGAAGCTGAAGTACCTGACATGGCCACATTCTTGCACAGAAAAGAACAAGACGCTCTGAAAGAAAGAGTAAAAAAGATCGGCGATGTCGTATTCCAAATGGACTTGGAGAGCACTCTAAGATATTCCCTGAAACATGAAATTGTTGGATTTAGAGAAATTACTGGCGAAAGGTTGGATGCCCTCAAAGCGTACTTGGACGTTTTGGTAAAGTATTTTCCTTTTGGAAAGTATGGACATATGTTTCTGATTGAGCTCAGGGATTTTGTTTCAAATAAGAAGCATGTTAGAGGGGAAGACATAAAAATATTGGTACAAGATGCTGAAAAGGATAGCAGACAGGTGTTTTCTTCACCAGAGCAGTGGCTGGCATGTAAAGGTATGTCACTGTGAAATTAATGAAAATTTGCATACCCTGAAGACTTTAAAGTTTCTTCTTCACCTTCTTCTTGTACATTTAGAACATCAACTTCAATGATGTTTGAAAGTTTCCCTCAGTGGTATGCCCTTTCAACATAAAATTGTCCATCCCATTTCCAATTTACTTTTTCGTCATACTTCGTTGACAAAATGCGACTAGAGTAAGAAAATCCCACTTTTGGGGAAGCACACCCATCTCAGCGAAAAACTGATATAATCTTCGCTTTCGAATTACAAAGAAAAACGAATTTTAGTTGACATACGTGCGCAAGAATTTTAAATTTTTTTCAATAGTGAAGCTACTCAACCCAAAATTACCATTTTTGAAAACGTTTCCCGTTTTTACATATACCTGCATCCACTAATACAGTTCCTGCCTGTGCTCCACTCCAGCATGGTGCACGTTAAAATTGCATCTTACGGTTTGACATATACGGGCTATAGTTAAGAAAGGTGAACAACCAGGAAGTACCGAGTCTGCTTACTTGACGCGCTTATCTATTTTCAGGCAGCATCTCGAAACACCGCGGCTACCCCTGCGGTGTCTGGAAACTCTTCCACTATCTCACGGTCAATGCTGCCGAAGCCAGTCCTCCGACCTCAGACCCCACAATGGTTCTAACAGCCATGTACGGTTACATCAAGCACTTCTTCGGCTGTAGCGAGTGTAGCAAACACTTCCAGCAAATGGCTAAACGCAGGAACCTGTGGGGTGTGAGCTCGTGGGACGAGTCGGTGTTGTGGTTGTGGATGGCGCACAATGAGGTCAACAAGAGGTTGGCAGGGGATGAAACGGAGGATCCGGAGTTTCCCAAGGTGCAGTTTCCGACTAAGGAGAGGTGTCCCAGGTGAGATAACATGTTTGGGTCCATTAGGTTCTGGTTGCCCATTAGGTGTACACTCTCCTGGCTTCCGCTTGAGAAGAAAAATATACCTAATACGGTACTGTTTCTTAGGTAACCAGTGGCGTGAATTTTTTTCTTGGTTTTTAAAATACCCACGAAAATTATCTTGCTAGATCAGACTTGTGGAGATCCAACAGATACGAAAAAAGTTTGTCTAGCCAAAAAATTGATTAAGCAAATTTGATCTGAGTTACCGTGCGATATATTCAAAGCCTAAAAACTCGGTAAATTTTTTTTTTCTCCAAGTATCTGAATTAAAGTTAAAGTCCTCGAAGAGTATTTTGAGATTAGTATTTTTTAAGCGATTTTATCCCTCTTTTTCAGTCCAAAATTGACGAAAAAACGCTTTATTCATAATTCGTAGAAATATTTTCTAGTTTAATTTGTTCTCCAACTTCCTTAAATCTATCCAACCGGAACTTCCAAATTTTTTGACTAAAATGTCAGGTGAATGATTGAAATGGACCTTTTTCAGAAAAAATGAAGAAGATATAAACCTTAATTTTGAGAAAAACAACCATTCCTGATATAGTATTTCCTAGTTGACATTTTGCTGATCTTTTAACATATAGGTTTTTTACGTAGTACCCATGCCGAAATATTCATCCTGCAAAAAATGCTTCATTCATAATTCGTAGACATGTTTTCTGGCTTAATTTGCTCTCCAACTTCCTCAAAACTATCCGTCCAGAACTTACAAAATTGTTGATAGATTATCCGTCTTGATCGTGTGATCACAGGTCTCTTGACGCTTTCCTTTCAAGATGTACATACATGGATAAAAGGCAGAAATGACACGGCAAATAAAGAGCCTCACAATTGCAGACTTTCAGCGATCGTATCAATAGTGGAAACGGCGTTGGCAGAAGTGTATCTTGTCTCAGAGGGAGTATTTTGAAGGAGACCATATTGAAATACCTGAACAATTGTAAAATAAAGTTATTATTCCCCTTTCAAACCTTCTAAATCAGCATTACTCGCTATTCGCCAAATACCTCTTGAAATGTACGGACACTCATCGAAAAAGCCAATGTCAAAGTTGTTACTTTTTGATGGTAATTGGGCATAGTTGATTGTTTTTATTTTTATATGTACTCTACTAATTATAACATGGAACCTTTGAATTTTATTTAGAAAGCGTTACAGTCCTCTCTTTTCTCAATTTCAAAAAGAAAAATTCCGCAAAATACAGGCTGTCCGCAAAGTTGGGGTTTTCCTTTTCAGAAATTACTACCCTTGAAATAACAAAGGTAATGTGTAGTGAAACGAATGCGACCAAGTAAAAAAAAGAACGGAAAAAGTACTCACTCTCCAGTTGACGAGAAGGGCTAAATACGTCTCTGCCCGAAATCATACCGCTCCAACAGAAAATGAAATCAGCTGATGCGCTACCGAGCAGACGCAGGTAAACAAGGAAGGCAAAATGTCGCGTAAAAAGTCTAGGTATTGCATCTCGTCCAATCGATTTGGGAGAATAAATGGTCCAATGAGCATACTGTTCACCATGCCAGCCCAAACATTCACCGAAAATGTTTGTTGAAAATGTGCCAGACGGACATCGTGCGGATTTTCTACTGACCAAACATGAGTGTTGCGAAAGTTATTCACCCCATTACGCGTGAACGTAGATTCATCTGTCACCAATATGCACTTCAAAAAGTCCGGATTATTGTCATGTTGATGCAACAACCACTCACAAAATCGTCAGGTTGAAGGGCTTGTACACGTTGGACGTGAAACGGATACAGCCCCTCTTCACGCAGCGTTTGCCACACTTTAGTTTTTGATACTTGCACTTCTCTAGCCACGTGCTTGTTGAGGGATTCTCGTCTACGCGATTACCTCTACACGCGTGACCGTAACCGTCGGTTGAAGGTTGCATACTGACCTGACACACTGACCCCGACCCAGTTCTGTCGTCGGGTTGAGCTAGTGTCCTAGTACCACTTGGGGATGTCGCGGCTACAGGACGCTAGTCAGATATTTTTGATGTTGCAGAGCCCTTTATCTCGGTTCCCTTAAGACATTGGTGTATATGGTACTAAGAAAAATTGCTTATGTTTTCAAGATCTACACGTCGTGTAAAGGAAAACCTCAACTTTGCGGACACCCTGTGTATATCATGTACGTCATATGGCTTGAATCTACTAATTTGAAGGCTTTGATAATTATTTTGTTTATGTGGTTAACCAGTTTAGACGTGCTTACTATATCTTTCTACTACCCTTACTACTTTCACGTAGGTGCCACAATTCCGATGATTCCTGGAACCTCCCCGAAGTTCAGCAGTACCTCAGGCACATGTACGCGGGCATCAATGTGCGTTACATTGGTTCAGACACCAGGATCCTTCATCTTGGACTCAACGGTTCCCCAAAGGCTGATGATGTGTTTAGGACAGTGGACACTTACATGTGCTTCGTGTTGTACGTTGCGTGCTTCACGTTTCTTGTGCTCTTGATTAATTTGGTTTGGAGGAGGAGGAGGAGGTATAGGAAGAAGGCTTACGTGCACGATTTGTTGGGGAAGGTTTAGAATGAGGTTGTGAAATTTTTATTCAGAAACATAAACGAATTTGCAATACTTGATATCCTTTGGAAATACGGAGTTACATGAACGCATCGAAGTCAAGGGTTTACGAGTGACTTTCTGTGCTCGAAATAAAATTACTGCATTTTTCTTTTGAGGTAGCTAGATTAAAAGATATAATCGACGGTCTCACACATTTACTTTTCAATTTGATGTTGTGCAGCAAGAAAAATGGATTTGCTATATTATTTATTTGTATGTGGAGGGAATTAAAGTCCATATTGTCATGATGATGTTTATAAATTATGCCCTGATGTGATTTATTTTTGAACTGATTTGGTGTCGAAAGAGATTTAAAATAATGTGGCAAGTTGGTAAAAAAAAAATGTTATAAATTCGTCATCATTCCAGTTATCAGATAAGTAGTTAATAGCGATAATTTGCTGTGTAAAAAAGATTGCTTAAACGGAAAACCGTAACGGCATTAAAAAGTCCAGAATAGAACCGAGTTTTGCTTTAGAAGCATGTTTGGACTGCACACTTGTAAAATGAAAGCCAAAGAAACTATCTTTTCATAAATGTTGTTTTTTTATTTTTTTACTGTCTCGTATAGGTGTAAACGGGCTAATGGACAATGCAAGGCTCTCATGGTAATACTATAATATACATATATATATATTTATATATACACTAATGGACAAAAGTATATAGACAAATTAATATTGTACTGTATTTCTTTTTTAACTTGTTTTATTAATACACCAACGTGTATACATAATTGGTTATAGCATAATACTCACTTATACATAAATAAATTTATTAGACATGCTTTAGTATATCTGTGTATACAAACTTATCCATAATGCCATCTATTCTATGTAAAGGTCCCATCCCAAACCCCGAAAAGCACCCCCAAACCATAACAGACCAGCCTCCATGTTTGACAGCGGGCAAAGTGTACTTGGAGTTCAATCTTTGTCCACTAGGACGTCTAACGTAATGAACACCATCTGATCCAAACATATTGAACTTGGATTCGTCACTGAAACATACCCTCTTCCAGTCACAGATGCTCCAATCAAGATGCAACCGTGCAAATTGGAATCGGTCCTTATTAACCTTCTACTTACAGTTTTCGTAGAAACACTGACAATTCCTTTTGTCTCGATTTCGGCTTTTATTTGTCTTGGGGTTTCAAACGGATCTTTGGACGAAATTACTTTGATTAATCTAACTGATCTAGCATTTAGTTTTCTAGGCCGATCACTTCTCTTAGCTTCTTCCAAGATACCTTTTTGTTTATATTTGTTCAATATTGCCGAAACTTTTTTTACGCTTCAGCTTCAAATTTTTGGCAATGCCGACTTGACGTTGACCATCTTTGTATAACTCAATGATCTTAGTTTTCACATCGAAATAAATTTCTCGACCAAGCGGCATGGTCTTAAAATCACTCAACTTATTCCACAATACTTGATGAACACAAACTAATCCTCTTCTGACACGAAACTGTACTAAACTAATGTTGAAAAGAATTTAGTTTTTTTACTAATAACGCATTTGTTTATGGAGCAATGAAGTATGAATTCGTTTTCTAAAGGTATTTAGGTAAATATTCATATTTGTCTATAGACTTTTGTCCATTACTGTATATGAGGAGCAGACTTGCAAATTGCATTTTGTCCATTTTTACCAATTTTCAGGAGAAGCAAAAAACCAGTACAGAAAAGCTAACCATGACAGAAAATTTTGTTCTGGATAATATAATGCTATCAGGTGTATCGACCTCAATCACAAGTTTTGGTACAAGAAAGTCGAAAAACAAGTTGAAAAAATTGAAAAAATTGTTGGACAGAATGCAGTTTGATTGTCTCTAGTGGACAAAATGCAATTTAAATGTCATTGTCAAGTTAACAATAATAAAAAATTTGGTTTTATTTAAAAAAAGGTGTATATTGAAACAACAAAACAAAATTTGTAAGTATTACAATAATATTAGGAGTAAACAATTTTATTTTTAAAGGAATTCATTATCATCATTCTCAGCGCATCCACAAGCTTCTTCGTCATTTTCGTGCTCTTCATCGTCATCATTACAGTTTGCCACAGTTTTCTCAAATATTTCAGCCATCCATTTCAGCTGCGGGTCTGTTTCATACCATTTGTCACCAGACAATGAAACAAGTAGGTTTTTTAGACTATCAAGCTTTTTCTGCTTTACTTCATGTCCAAGTCGTACTTTAGGAAGTTCAATTTGATCCAACCGCTTTTTAGGTTTCAACAAAGTTTGGAATTTTTTCGCTGGATCATCCGTTCGATACAGCAATTCAGATTTCACCACAACGCCTGAGGGCTTTCCCCGTTTGATGATTATTCTTTTACTTGAACTAATTCCTAGGACTTTTTTCAAACAGATGGAAGCTTCTTTTATATTCACCAATGACCAATCAGTTCCAAGTTTTCTGATTTCACCTACTTGTTTGTAGAGTTCCCAATATTTTTCAGGTGTTTTTATGACCGCGTGTCGTCTTAAAATCTTTTCCACCCTCCCAAAAATTCTATCTGCCGGAAGATAAGAGTGTCCTCGCACTGGGAAGATAACTTCTATTTTTTTAATTGTTTCTGGAGCAAAGCGGTGTAACCATAACATTAGCATGTGGATGGTAAAGCTATTTTTATTTTGCCCCCCGCATCCATCGGAGAAGAGCCGAAGAGTGTCTATATTCGGGGAAAAATTGGTCTTTTTCAAAAAATCAAGCAGGGCGGAAGATATTTCTGTCGCTCCCCTGCCAGCTTGGTGTTCCATCCATGAATAAAAAACAGGGTTTTTACAGTTTGTGGCTGTAACGCAAAAAAAGTAAAATGACAGCTGCTGTGCATAAAAAGCATCTTGTATGGGAACTTTTGGGAGAACCTGCACTTGTTGCAAGTCAAAACAAAAAGACACTGAGTTAGGAGATGCTTCTTTCATCATTTTATGGAACTGAGATGCTCTAACCTTGTGAACTTTTAACTGGGTCTCAAGTTGGCCTTTATCGATAATATTCCTCGCATTACCGATTTGCGTTGCTGTTTTAACACAAAAATTACATACATCTGTAGCCGGGCTACCAAAGCCTATGTTGAAGTGATTACTGAAGACCCTGCTAAAGTATTTATAATTTACTTTTTTTTCATTAGTCACTTTTTCATTATAGAAGTTGCAAAGTTTAGCAATGGTGTATTCGGCAGACAAGTAGATTCTTCTTGATTTAGAACGGCTGTAGTGACTTTCTTTCCCTTTCAGGTTGCTTATAAACTTTTTCACCTCATTTAATTTGTTGATAAATTTGTGAGATTTTCTATCGCCTCCTCTTTTTTCAGTAAGACTTGATCCCATTTTTATTTTCTGACATATTGTGTTTATTCGCCTTTGAGACACGCTGAACATAGCTCTAAATAGTTTCTGGCAAATTTGTTTTTTATCACCTTCAAAAAATATCTGAAAAAAAACGAGAGTAAGTCACAGTTTAAAATACATTTCAGATGGTTATACTTACGAAATAATTTACGGAAAAATTATGGGACTTTCCATTTTCTTTGCGACTTCGTTTTCGTTTTGGCTCCTTAATCTCCATGTAGCTTGCAAGCAAGTTGTCCTGCGTAATTTTGTTAGGACTCTCGAAAAAGGTTTGGCGGATTTTCAGCATAGCTCCTTTCGATAATTCTTCGCAATCAAGATTAGAATTTTTATGATTACAAACTACGTTGAAATTGTCTAGATTGATGTCCAAATTGGAATACCTTAAAAGTGAAACGGAAAATAATAAAATATTTTAGGCTTATAACCTAACAAATACCTTATTTGTTTTTTTCTCTCACGGCTTGTTGTATTCCTTTTTCTTTTCCTACTACCCCTATCCACACTATCACCAACAATATGCTCCCCTTCTAACTGTTCCATTTTGATCCAAAAGCAACACTACTTCAATGTTTTAACAATTAAAACTTGAAAAAGTCTCCAAGGTAACACCGAACTATAACAACAGATTCTGATAAAATAAACAAAAACCCCATCAAAATGCATTTTGTCAACGTTTATGGACAAAATGCACTTTGAAAGTACCATGTGAGTGGACTTAAATCAGTTTGTTTGTCTAGGTATAATTTTCCCCTCAATAACACGGGGACTAAATACATTTTGACTGTTCAAATGTTTAAAAAAAGATAGTATTTCATCATAGGAATGCAGCGCCACCTGTATCTCAAATATGGAAAATTTGGACAAAATGCATTTTGCAAGTCTGCTCCTCATATATACTGCCAAGTGAAGCACGGAGACGGTATTTTACCGGAAAAAAGGCGTTCAAGCTTTCAACCTCTGATTGCAGACACGTCAAACAAAAATATAGGATTTTAGGAAAACTGTTGCCAAAAAAGTTGAGATATCCTCGTTGTGCTTAGTTCGGCAGTGTCTTTTTTTTAAACTCGTATTATACGTTTTTAATTTTTATTTCCACTAATAAGTATACCAAACCCAGTGATACTAATCTTCTAATTCCCCAATTCCGTGTCAGACTTTTCTATAATTTAAGCTTATGTTTAAACGCATCACATATAGAACAATTTACTTTGACGTTGCATAACCGAGATCGAGGTGCTTAGAGTTTATTTGTATGCGTAGGCGGTGGCTCAAATCATTGATTAACGTAATCTCGAAAATAGTCAACAAAATACTATAATATTCTGGTGTCCAAAAAGGATTCTGAAAGAGACTAGCGCCACCTGCAAGATGGAACACATACACAATTTAGAAACCCAATTTGAAAGGAGTTTGGTTCTGATATTGTCTCATAGATGGCGCTATGGCCTTATTTCTTTTCTGTAATGCCTATTTAAATTGGATATCTTGAGGCGCTAATTAATATGTTCCACCTGAAAATACCCCAATTGAAATAGGGACTAGACGCCGTCTATCAGACAGTAGCAAAACTAAAAACTCTAACTTCTATCAAAGTAGATCTCTAAATTCATTTTTGTGATCCGATAATTGTTTGGACGTCGGGATAGTACGGTTTTCGCATACCCGGGCTTTTTGATTCCCGGGTTTCGGGTATTTTTTTTAAATACCTGGGTAGCCGGTTCGTATCCGGGTATTTTTAATTCTAAATAAAACTTCACACCACCCATCAGTTTGATCCAATCAAATATATATTTATACAAAAAAAAATAAACTTCTTCATAAATAATAATAATAATAAAAACACGATGTCATTGTCGTGTCTTAAAAAAATCATCCATAAGGAATCCTAACAATCATTAATAAAAAGCTCCTTTATAGCAAAACAACGACATGAATTAACATGTAACAAGACTTTTAATAGAAAATAGATCTAGGTTATACATTTTAAAGCAGAGGATAATTGTAAACAGTCCAGGTAAGTTATCTTTAATTAATATATGATTTATTAATGAAATAAGAATATCAAACCGTCAAGGGAACGATCAATGAATAACTAATTTTGAGCACGAGTAGACAAGTATCTTCGAGTATCTGATCTAAAAAAAAAAATCTGGTTCGGTTTCACTGCATAATCTTCTTCAGAAAGGACCTCTTTTGATGTGCATAAAATAGCGTTAAAAATTGTTGAAAGGACTTTTATAAACACATTCCAAAAATCGTTTTTGCACCTGACAAAGTTTTTCTCGGTCTTTAGATCATTCTCAACAAAAAAGATCCTTATGAACTTTTCTCTAAGTACATAGTTTATTACGCTGGAAAATAAAGATTCCCCATTTTTATTGATACCCGTGTCCCCGGGTTTTTTGTCAAGTATTGCCCAGATCCGAAAACTCTTGGATACCCGGGTATACCCGACTCGAAAACCCTACGAGATACAGTATGTAGTTCTTTTTAGGTAGATTACGTTAATCAATGATTAAATAGATAGAGTAGGAACAAACATCTAACGGAGCAAGTGATACATACGAGTTTTCCAATGATTTATACAAAATATATAGTGATAAATAATGAAGTAGCAATTTTCTTCAACAGACATATCCTTCTCCATATTTTAAGACATTTTGCAGCAGAAACTATATGAACAAGGAAAAAGTAACAGTATTTTGATCTCTTGCCTTTTATCCATTCAACGAACTGTTAAGATTAAGTTTGTACAAAATGGCAGTGAACTGTATATTGCATTTATGTTAACATTATTGTTTATATAAAAATTGTACATTGTTGTTTGTTATAAATAAATGGTGATTGGGATGGTTTTGAGTTTCACTAAAACACCGCAAATTTTCCTCAATGGTATAGTCAACGAATCACACTTGTAACGGGTGCATCTCAATACTTTGTCAAAATAGAAGTTGTTCCTAAAGCCTTAAGTTGTCATCTACTGACTGATATTTCATTCAACATTACGTGCACATTTGAGTAATAAGCTGATGTTATAAAAGCTCACAATATTTTGCTAAAAATAACAAATTCTTCAATGATGTACATAACCCAATGTTAGTCACAACCGATCAAAAAAATTTCACAGCAATATGTGGACAATTTACTATGATGATAGGCATATACGTATACTGGTACTTGAAAATTACATATCATCAACATATGATCAAAAATGTAGTACTTGTTGGAAAGTAGTTGTGTCCAGCAAGAACCAACGAGGTCTGAGGTAAGCTCTTGCCGGGAAATTAAAAAGGAAAACAACAGAAAAACATAAAGAATAGCGAAAACTTCATAAAAACTTTGCTGTCTTTTCGGAGTGCTACGATGTATGGTTTTACCAAACCTTGATACTGCATCTATTACAAACGGATTGAAGCTAAGAGAACATCTCGTCTTTCAGGGCCTGTAGGATATAAAACGGGTCAGATGTGAACAACTTCATTGAAACTAGAATAAAAGCTTGAAATTATAAACACATATGCTGTTGTAGCTAATGAAGCATTATTAATTGATGTTCCAGCAATATTACCCTCTTTGAAAACTAAATATGACTGAATGTGTCATCCACCAAAAAAATCATGTTCTCATCAACTGGTTTTACATAAAAGTCTAAGGCCCGTATCGTCAGTCGTCCCTACAATTGTAGGGCGCGTTTATGGCCTCCTTGATTGTCATAGTTTTCTACTTCTCCTTGTCAGAGCTCTATTTTGAGGTTATGTCACAAACATCTATTTGCATCAAATTGTGCTTGCTTTTGAGTTATATCATATTTTATCAGCCTGAAATTTCGTACAATTTGAAAGGAAAACATATCTTAACAATTGGAGAGCGCTGACGCTGACACGGGACGAGTGTAATCTAGAAATTTTTGAAGGAGAGAAAAGAGTATGACAATCAAGGAGGCCATAAACGCACCCTACAATTGTAGGGACGACTGACGATACGGGCCTAAGTATATCGTTTTTGTAGGTAAGTAGGTGTTGATTTTTCAGTACTGACTGTCTTCAAAAAGACGTGAAAACGACAGTCTTTTAAAGGACGTCTTGTTGTCGTCATAAAAATGGCGTCAATAAATACGTCATTTTTTAGTCGCACTCATTGGCAGCTCGTCAATGTGGTATAGATTTCTATAGAGGATATGCCCTTTTGTCTGTCTCCAAGACTACACCTATAGTGCACTGATGAGTGCTGAAGAGCAGGAAACAGCGATGACTGCATGGTTACAGGGACGGACAGCAGAGATGTTGAGTTCAGTCTATAAAATAACTGGCCATCACTAACTTGTCTATCTCTCTTAGAATTGGAATATAAGATGAGGTAAAGTAGACTGAGTCAGTGTTTCCCATACAATGATATAACTTAAAAATTTTAGATACACTTTTCAATAAAGACGTCATTTTTTAGTCAATGACGTTTCTTACAAAAAATGACCGAATAATGACATAATTTTTGTGACATGGTGACTGGGTTACTAGCCACATACGAAATCAGCCACATAGTCGAAATCACGAAAGATGACGATTACGTCATCATTTTAGTCTGTAGTAAAGACAAACGACAGCGATTTGTGAATATTTTTAATGAAGTTTCTGATATGTTAGACAGAGGCAAACAATTTTATTGTCTAAACCAGACTTCCCCAAACTTTTTTGTGTCGTAGACCCCTTGCCATGAATTTCCGTGTTGGGTAGACCCTCTACTTACCTGATATCGATTTCCTGTAAATTTCTAACTGTAGTGAAGTTTAGTGTTAAAAACTTAAAGTAAAAACACATGTTAATTTATACATTTATTAATCGAATTTAAATTAAAACTACTCAAAATAAAATTTTGTATCTGTTATGTAAAATATACGTAACATTAAATAAACAGGTGTCTGACCAATAAGTGCCCGCATTGGGAATAAGTGCCCGCATTGAAAAAAATAAGAGGGATAAAATATAATAAAGTGAAAAATAATAAAAAAAACTTTTTTACTTAAAATAGTACAATAAGCGAGTTCGTTTATTAATTATAACATAAACGTATGTTCTACAATAATTTCACTGTTAGTTTGATTAAATTCCGCTTCTTATACGTTTAAGTTATCTAAAAATAGGCAAAAAATTAACGAATTTTAGTGTGTACCTATCCTTGAATTTTCAGAATAATTTAAAAAAAAATATTTTCTATAATGGGGGGTTCTTTAAAAAAATCAATGCGAGCATTTATTGGTCAGACACCAATAAACATAAAATAAACTATAAATAAAATAACATAAGCAATAAGTCAAAATTTTTATTGAGAAGGATGAACCTGATGCTTCAATAATAAATTATCAACATTTGGCGTCAATTTTGTAAGGGTTAATCTTAAATCTCCTCGGCTAATGATGTCCAGTCTGTTTCTTTTTTTCGTTAGGAGATTGGTAACAGCGCTGAACCCCCTTTCCACTAGGTATGACGATGGAAAGGAAATTAAAAATTTCCTCGCTATATTCCATAATACGGGATAAGTAACGGGTATGTTGTTTTGCAGCCAGAATTGCTGATATCCGTTTTTAAACTGAACCTTAAGTTCTTCGTTTGTACTTAGTTCAGTCAGTTCCTCTTGTATTATGACATTCGTTTCTTCTATGTCACCATATGGATTAATTATCCACGGTGCTATAGTCAAAATATCCTCAAACCTAGATTCAAAATCTGAATAGAGGACATTTAAATGTTGAACGTAAGTTGAAACGTCGTCTTCCTGGCAGCTTGTCTGTGACAAATTGGGGAACTGAGAAAATTCGCCCCGTCCAATATTTTGCTTCATTAGTTTAACTCTGGCAAGAAACGCTGATAAGATGGACTTTGTTTTAATCAAATTTAAACTGTCGCCTTGTAATTGCAAATTAACCATATTAAATTTTGTAAACAAATCTGTTAAATAGGCGATGTCTGTTTTCCTCTTCATTAAATTTTCTTTTAAAATTTTATCTTTAGTATCCAGAAATTCTAAAATAGTCTCAAAAAGTGCAAAAAATCTTGTCAAACATAAGCCTTTCGACAGCCAGCGTACTTCAGTGTGAAGGAGTAATTGATGAAAGTGTTCGTCATTTTCTTCACACAACTGCGCAAATAACTGCGTATTCAACGCGTTGCTTCGGATTCGGTTTACTGCATCAATGACTAAATGAAGTGATTCATGCAATCTAACACTCAAATTTTTAGCAACTAAATGTTGTCGATGGATGACGCAATGTATTGCTAACACCCCTGACACATTTTGTTTTAAATATCTTATAAATCCACGATAACGTCCAACCATGGCAGGTGCTCCATCTGTAGCTACTGATATTATATTTGATAAAGGAATTGCTTTTTCAATGAAGTAATCCTTCAAAACATGAAATATTGATTCACCTTTAGTGTTGGTTATCAAAGTTCTTGTGAAGAGCAGTTCTTCGTAGATTTCTTGATTCATAATAAAACGAACATATGCCAATAATAATGCTGCATTATCAGGTAAAGTTGACTCATCCAGTTGTATAGAGAAATGGGTCGTTTGCAAATAATTACATAAGAAGCTTTCAATATCAGAACTGATTTCATCAATACGTCTTTCAACAGTATTGTTGCTGAAGGGAATTCTTTTAATGATATCGGATGCAGGTTTGTGTAAAACAGTTTTTAAAACCTCTTCAACGGCTGGCAAAATTAACTTCTCTCCGATAGTATGTGGTTTTCCGGATTTTGCTATAAGTAACGAGAGATTGTAAGACGCCCGCAAACCGTCATCATTTCTTTGTGACGACGAAGCGAACATTCTGTCCAGTGTAGGTCTCTTCTGAAATTTATCTTTGAGTGTTTGAAAGTATTTCAAATCTTTCTCTGTTTTATCAGGGTGGCATCTTCTCAGATGATCTTGCAGTTTAGATGGTTTCATAGCGTCATTGCCCAAAACTTTGTTGCATAAAAGGCACATAGGCGATTGTTTGTCCAGCAATGATGAAATGAAGCCAAATTTCAAATAATCAACACTGTACTGTGTGTGTATTTCTTTTTAGATTCGGACATGGCATCAGTCATCTGTGGGCAAAATTAAATTATTTAAATAAGACAGAAAATCCAGCAGCTGTATATTAAAAATATTTTTTGATTTTTCCGAAAACATTCCATAATTCGAACATCTTCTTTCAACAATTAGCTCGAATTACGGAGATTGCACTGTAATTATATTACCGATTGCTAAAACTTTCAAAAAGAAACTATTGAGGAGTACTCGTGTAATTTTGCATGATTGAATATTTAACTACAAATAACTAAAGTCATGATTGGCGTAATTTATCTATCTTTGCTAACTACGAGTACAAAACTAAAATTTAATAAAAAATAATGTACTTTCTTTTCTCCAGCACTCTCAAACAAAGTAACACTGACTCACTATAATTTGTGATATACTATCTGTTTATATTTTTTAAAATATGTATTTTCTTAGCACTTTCCTTTTCAAGATTAAGGAAACGAATAAACGTATTTGTCCCACATTCGTATTTATAGAGTGACGAATTGAACAAGTCAGTGCAAGGTAGCAAAGCTCTGAGACTGCGACTCTCAGGATTTTACAAGTTCAAAATGTATTGCGACCACAAAGCGAATGCCAACATCCTACAACTTACACAATTTTATAAACATATATAATAAATTTTTTACTCCATAGGTACTTTTATAAATAATGTATATGTTTTGATATTATAAGATAGTATGATGTAAGTAAATAGGTACTATCAGTGTATGTGTTGAGATCCACTATCGTGGACTCCCATATTCATTTCATGGACCCCCAAATTTTTTTTCGCTGACGTAGACCCCTTGCAGGTTGTCATAGACCCCTAGGGGAATCAATGGTCTGAACAAACTATATTGCTAATTTGCATGTATCCGACAAAGATAGACGATGTTTTCATGTTGCATGTTCCACCATATTTGAAAGATGAATAGTTAGGTTATTTTAAAGCAGGTTAGGTTGTTTTCGAATAATACTTTGGTGTTTGGTGTTCCTGTCTTAAGGTATTCTACTCATAACTGTTTTTTTCAAAACAAAAACTCTACACTAAAATTATTATTAATGTATCACTCAAACCATGAAATAAAATGAAAATAAAAATAATCAGTGAATTAACTTCCTGACATCGTGATTTTATCATCGACGTACATCCATTGATTACTTCAGTACAATTTATGGTTTGACGTAATAGTCATCTTTCGTGATTTTGACTATATGTGTGTTTCCTAAGACAGTGTTTCGTCCATGTAAAGACCCATACATTGTGGTTTCCTACCTTTTCTGTGGTAGTACTGTTTAGCGTGAGCGTCAGAGCCGGTACAGTTCGCATTTTATATTTTGGATGCATTTACTATTAGTGCAACTTATAATAAAAAGTCATTTTTCAATTTTTAATTAATCATAAATCAAATTCAAGCGGATAACCAAATGGAAATGGTATTTACCATTTTGGGATGGTATTTACCGATCCGTTCAAGCGAGTGTAGTTATCAGTTTGGTTAAGATCCGTGACGTCACGAATCAGCTGTTATATGTCATAGTTATCACCGCAAAATTGTGGTATTTACCCAACTCAAAAGTAGTTTTATATTTCTGGTTATTATTTGAAATGTGACAAGTTAGAATTTTGCAGGGTATTGGATATTGTTATTGTACTTCAGCTTCATTTTTGAGAAAAATGATACAGGCTGACTTCAGTTTTACCATAAAGTGGAACACCTTATTAGTTATATTCATTACGGTTGTTGGGGACACTTTAAATATAGTTCCTATGCTTAACAAAGTATCCTGTGTAGCCATATACCACAAGAATATTAAAATATGGCCATATAAACTCACTAGATGATATCCACCTGTATACGGTTTTGTTAATTTCTTTTTTCATCATTTCTGCTGAATCAATAAATGTTTTCTTTGACATGCGGAAAAATTTAGAAAATTATCATAGCTACAGAGCCATAGTTCCATCATTAAAAAAAATGAATATGATGAAAGGTTTCTTATTTAAACTTTCCATATACAGCTGTAGACGAAAAAGCACCGATTATCAAGTGATAATAAAAATAAACAGAAATTATATACGCGCTTTTCTAAAATAAACAACTTGCAACAAACCGCGGTTAAAACCAACGCGTTCAAGCGATTCGGGTAACTGACGTCACCATCCCGTGTGTCATCTTGAACCATATTATAACCGCGGTACATAATACGGAAATTTTGGTTATCCGCTTGGATTTGATTATAGTCTCGTCAGGAACGTTTTAGCCAACTCATTCGCGATATATTTTCATCCATTAAACAGTTTGGTGGAGGTCGCTTCTTATTTGGATCTTAGACTAAATTCCATTTAACGCAATTTGGTGCAACGTAAAACAATTAAGCAATAAAAGTACGAGTATTATTCGCACGCGACCGTGCTGCCAATCCATTGAATGATGTGCAATACTCTACATATCCTCTGAATTTTCTCTTAGTCGCACATCACACATGGTGTGTGGATTTTGAAACGGATTTCGCATCCATCGGTGTCGACACGTATTGTATGTATACGCATAGGAAATGAAAATAACATGGGTATATCATAACCCACACGCTGCATCTTCACCAATTAAATAGAGTTATTTAGCGTGTTATGAAAAAAAATGTATGCAATCCGTCTGTTATTTGAAAATAACATAATAGTTGTGTGCACACAGGTGAGAAATCTGACGATATCCATCGTTTGCCAATGCTGATTCTATCCTCAACCCTTACGATGAAAATGACCTGAGTACCCCTACGTCTTCTGGCTCATAGCTGCTCGATGCAAGGGCGCCAATTAGGGGGGGGGGGGAGGTCATAGGCTTCCCTGACTGTCGCTTGAGGAGTAAAATATTCTTGATACTGCACCCGTTCCGTGGACAACGAGTGGTGTATGTTTTTTGGCTGACCTATGCTTTAGCGCATATCGCAAATATTTCATTTCTTATTTTAAAATGAAAGATTAGGATGTAACTTGTACGAAAATATCATTTTTTTTAAAGAACTCTCTGCTTGCTATTTTATAGAACTTCAAAGTTGTGTTTTGGGTGCTAATACAGTGATACAGAATACTGCTTCATAAGCTGTTTTCTTCTTGCTTATACAAAAGATTGTTCAAAATTATACTAAGTGACATATAAATCCGAACATCCAGTTTAACTGGTTTTATTTTAATAAAAGTTGTGAATGTATTTATCTTACTGTAAATAACAAGTGAAAAAATTTTCAGCCTGATCAGTTGGACATTCCAGTTTTTATACTGCTTTTTTTTAATTCACTAACGCTCTAAAAATGAATATTTCAGCCGCAGTAAAGAATCAATGTTGGCGGATTTTGGTTCTTGATATCCTTTACGATCGGTTATGATGCCTAGAGTACGGAGACCTGTACGATTTCGTCAACTTAGTGAGTTTGATAGGGGCCGTATAGTGGGACTTCGGGAAGCTGGACTTTCTTTTCGGGCAATTGCAGTTAGAGTGCAAAGAAGTGTAGACACTCTGGTTAGGTGTTGTCAGGCATGGCTTCGAGAAGGCCGTACGCAAAGAGCAAGCGGCACTGGACGCCGCCGTAGAACAACAGACCGTGAAGATCGCCGCCTAAGATTATTGGCCTTAAGGGACCGTTTCTCCACTACCAGGTCCATTGCAAATGAATGGTTTGCAGAACACGGAAGACCTATTGGCGTGCGAAGTGTTTACCGACGAATGAGGAGTTTTGGCTTGTTTTCATACCGGCCACACTGGGACCTCCCTTTAACTCGAGAACACCGACGTAATCGCCTTGAGTGGTGCAGACAACGGTCACTCTGGGATCAGGAATGGAACACTATTGTCTTTAGTGACGAGTCTCGATTTTGTTTAGGCATGCACGATAGTCGTGCCAGGGTTAGAAGGCGACGTGGTGAAAGGAGGAATCCATAGTTTTTTATTGAAAGACATGTTCATCACACTGTTGGAGTTATGGTTTGGGGTGTTATAACTTATGGTTCCAGGTCATCTTTAATCTTCATCAGAGGTAACATGAACGCGCAGCGTTATATCCACGAAGTTCTTGTACCCCATCTTTTACCCTATCTTGACACCCTGGCAGATCCAACTTTCCAACAAGATAATGCCCGGCCACATGTTGCAAGAGTCACAATAGACTTTCAACATAATGATGTCACATTGTTACCATGGCCACCAAGACTTCCCGACTTATCCCCAATTGAGCACGCGTGGGATATGATGGGTAGGAGATTGCTCAATTTGCAACGTCCTCCTCAGCCTCTAGAAGCACTTCGAGAGGAGTTGGTGGTTGCCTGGAATGAGATACCACAGGAGGACATTGACCACCTGATCAGAAGCATGCCTAGGCGCGGTGGAGAATACGTAGCACATCAGGGTGCGTCCACACATTATTAAAGGTCAAAGGGCTTTAAAGCAGTGCAATCATTTTGAAATTTTTATCATTTACTTATTATGCTTCATTAAGTACGTATACAAAATTTTATTAAAATAAAACCATTTAAACTGGGTGTTCGGATTTATACGTCACTTAGTATATATGAATAAAACATCACACTGTAAGTTATTGTGATACTGTTCATCGCAACAATGCAATGTTGCATTATTTTAATGATGAAAATAGTTCATTGTTAAGTAGTCATTTCTTTTATTTCAGATAATTATTCCCATCACTACACCACCGTCAGTGTCATATTCTCTCCATCTCGTTGCGACGTTGCTAAATCATGGATAGTAATATACCTTAATTTGGTTTGTCAAATTCTTACTTATATACTGAGGCAAAAATGTGCAATCGGCACAGGATTGTTTTACTGTACTAAATCCACCTTGTACCCTACGATAGCGTAACCTAAAGATACTTTTTTTGAAGAGTTAGATTAGTTATAATCTATTTACTCGTTGTATGTATGTACTTGAAGAATTATTTAAAGTGAAGCTGATGTTACAAAATGTACCTACTAAATGTGATATATATGAGAAATAACTGAAAAAGTAGCTGTAGCTGATCACTAAATAATGAAAACATAAAAAAGAACATTGCAAGTTTTTGGATGATTTGAGGAAATGATCGTTGATCTTTATTTAACTGTTGGACGATATGTTGGGTGGACCTGGCGAGGTGGTCCAAATCGACGAGTTGTCGTTGGGTATTTTTATATGTAGTGACTGCTGGTGCCTTTTGTATTTATTATGTCACGCGAGCCGCTGGTGCATTTCCACTGTTTGACACTTACCTACTGTTCAAAATAACAAACAAGTTTTCGGTAAATATTGGGACAACTTTTCATAAATCAAGCCATTTACAATAAATTAAGACTTTTATCTTCCAAATAACCTCATTTCTAATTACGTATTTTCTCCCAAAAAAGGTACAACTTGGCAACAATGGACATCATTTATCTTATCTGTCAAGAAATGAGTGTTATAAAATGGCCATTTAGAATTGTTTGTACTTTCAAATATTTCTTATAAACGTAAAAACTTTGATCTCATTGAAAATACGCGAAAAAAATGGTTAATGAATTTCAAGAAGACATTGAAGAATCACAAAATAACACCTCTACACAGTTTACCAACTAAATACCATCATTTACGTATGTATACTAAGTGACATATAAATCCGAACACCCAGTTTAAATGGTTTTATTTATAAAAATTTTGTATAAGTACTTAATAAAGCATAATAAGTTAATGATAAAAATTTCAAAATGATTGCACTGCTTTAAAGCCCTTTGACCTTTAATAATGTGTGGATGCACCCTGATGTGCTACGCATTTTCCAACGCGCCTAGACATGCTTCCGATCAGGTGGTCAATGTCCTCCTGTGGTATCTCATTCCAGGCAACCACCAACTCCTCTCCAAGTGCTTCTAGAGTCTGAGGAGGACGTTGCAAATTGAGCAATCTCCTACCCATCATATCCCACACGTGCTCAATTGGGGATAAGTCGGGAGATCTTGGTGACCATGGTAACAATGTGACATCATTATGTTGAAAGAAGTCTATTGTGACTCTTGCAACATGTGGTCGGGCATTATCTTGTTGGAAAGTTGGATCTGCCAGGGTGTCAAGATAGTCGGTTTGGCCGGTATGAAAACAAGCCAAAACTTCTCATTCGTCGGTAAACACTTCGCATGCCAATAGGTCTTCCGTGTTCTGCAAACCATTCATTTGCAATGGACCTGGTAGTGGAGAAACGGTCCCTTAAGGCCAATAATCTTAGGCGGCGATCTTCACGGTCTGTTGTTCTACGGCGGCGTCCAGTGCCCCTTGCTCTTTGCGTACGGCCTTCTCGAAGCCATGCCTGACAACACCTAACCACAGTGTCTACACTTCTTTGCACTCTAACTGCAATTGCCCGAAAAGAAAGTCCAGCTTCCCGAAGTCCCACTATACGGCCCCTATCAAACTCAACTCTACTCAACAACTAAGTTGACGAAATAGTACAGGTCTCCGTACTCTAGGCATCGTAACCGATCGTAAAGGATGTCAAGAACCAAAATCCGCCAACGTTGATTCTTTACTGCGGCTGAAATATTCATTTTTAGAGCGTTAGTGAATTAAAAAAAAGCAGTATAAAAACCGGAATGTCCAACTGATAAGGCTGAACATTTTTTCACTTGTTATTTACAGTAAGATAAATACATTCACCAACTTTTATTAAAATAAAACCATTTAAACTGGGTGTTCGGATTTATATGTCACTTAGTATATTTTGATCTGTTATTTAATAAGCTGATGTGTAATAATACGTCTGGTTTTGAACCTTTTTTGCAAAAACAACGATTTTTTACAGTTTCACATCTATTTTCCTTAGTACTATACGGTGTATGTTATATTCTTATAATCTAGAGCATCCTTTTGTACAAAAAGCAAAAAAAAAACATCATATAAAACACTATTCTATTCTAGAGTATTACCACCAAAAATGCAACTTCGAAGTTCTATAAAATAGCAAGCAGAGGATTCCTTAAAGAAAAAATGATATTTTCGCAAAATTTACATTCTAATCTTTCATTTTAAAGTAAGAAATGAAGTATTTCCGATATGCGCTAAAGTATAGTCTTATCTGCTTGTTACTTCTCAAAGCAGAAATAGAAATCATTTTTTTCTCCCACTGCTTTAAACAGTTACTCTGATTCAAACAGGTTGACTGAGTCTGTAAGCCTAACCTGCCTCTGAATTTTGCTACATGAGCGCCTATGGCTCGACGTCTTACTGTGTACACATATAAATATCGCACCACCATAATTGAAACGGACGACCCATCAAGTAGCCGGAATACAAAGTAGGTATCCCCAAATCAACCAGAACAGGGATTCTGTGCATTTATTCATACATAGGCATAGGTTAAGCCGGATATGTGTGCTTTCCGTGACCAACCGCAGACAACGCTGTTTTATGCTCTTTAGCATTCATCGGTGCAGGAAAGGCTTAGCTTTCGCGACGAACAGCCAGAAAGCAAACAAGTTTTCTTTTGTCTATCTCCAAGACTGGCCCAATATTGAATTGATGAGTGCGAAACAGCGATGGCTGCGGTTACATGGTTTCAGAGACGTAAGGCAAGTTCAGCATATAAAATAAGAGATCATCATTGCGTTATCTATGCTTTTTAGAATTGGGATATAAAATGGAGTCAAGTAGACTGACTCAGTATTTCCCATACACCTGAAAGGAGGTTGGGGGTTTTGAAATATTACGTTTTCGCTCAAAACTCTGCCGCCACTGGTCCGATTATCAAAACTTTTTTGTCCTTCAAACGGAGTTAATCTTTTGTCAAAGTCAAAAAAATTACATCTCGATATCGATTTTTTTTATCTACCAGCAAAAATGATATCTAAAATATTGATCAACATCTCGAAATATGTCGAAGAACAATATAAAATTTCTTGGCCACCTGCAGTTTTGTAATTTTGGCTCGTAGTTCCACTGCCGCTGCATCGATTTTTAGAAAATGCTCAGAACTTTCAAAGCTTGATCGTCCTTTAAAATACACCTAAACACTTGGTACATCAAGTTAATGGTCCACAGATATGACTGTTGGCCGCATACGAATTTTTAAGTGCTATTATACTTCATCCAAATGTAAATTCTCTGATATTCTGTTTTCCCGCCAAGAACGAAAGTCAGACAGCTTAATGCCATTGAAAAAGTACTCGTAATGCTACTTACTTTGTGTGAAAATTGCGTACTTGAAATAACTTTTTCCCATCTCATTATCTGCGCATGACAAACAAAACTAGTTAATTTTCCAAAAAAAAAAATGTAATGATGGAAGACTTTTTTCATCATTTTTTACATAAAAGCAACTAACTCATTACAAGACTAAAATTCTGTCACACAAGAACGTAGAAAAAAGTCATCAGGTAGTAGTTCCATATATCCAGACATCTCGGAAACGTAGCAGATTTTGTCGTAACCTTCGGCTGACAAGCTACACTTAATTATTTTTTAATTCTCATAAATAATGTACTTTCATTACTGCCTATTTTGACTGATCAAAATTAATTTTTGTTCTATAAATTTAGTGATCTTAACAAGGTGTATCCAGCCTTGAATTTTTGCTAATAATATATCGTCGAGAACACTTTGCCTCTCTAAATGTGTAACAACGTAACATGGAAGATAATTAGTACCTACATTTAATTGTTAGGCTACAAAGCGTTTTAGGTTGTTGAAAAAAAATAAATTGTTCATAATAACCATAATTTAATTCTGTAGTTACTGAATCAGGTTCGTAAAGTTACGGTCAGGGTGCGTGGAAACCTACGAACGTCGTCGAAATGCTACAAGGAATTTAAACTTAGAATTACAAACTTAAAAAAATGGGGCATTGCGATTAGGTCTCAGTTATGAATAAATAGTTGGAAATCCTAGTTGTGCCAGAAAGCATTTCAAAATACACACTTTTTGCCATCTCTTTTGAATGCGTTCTGAACAAATATCAACTTGGAGGAACGTTCAAAAACAGTTTAGGACTTTTCAAATTTTCTGAAAGTTTCAGAGTTTGAGCTGCCTTCAGAAATCTCTTGAATTGAGTTATTCCCTGATTTCTTTGTCACACAACTCAAAAATAGACGACTAGATATATCTCACTACTAAGCATTTTCTCAAAGATTTTTGAAAAAGTTTTGGAGGCCCGTTTTACTAATTTTATTTCTAAATATAGACTTCTATCTAAGCAACAATATGGTTTCCAAGAAGGAAAATCCACTCAAGATGCAATTGCAGTTTCAATGGAAAACGTGTATACCAGTCTAGACTTGGGAAACCCATCGGCCTGTGTCTTTATAGATTTAAAGAAAGCATTTGATACTGTTGAACACAAAGAATTACTAACTACTTTGGAGAATCTAGGATTTCGTGGCAAAACACATACTATACTCAAAAGCTAC